CACCGAGTGCCAACATTTCAGCCGTGTGGCATGCCTCAAACTCAGACTCAGTCCCAAGCTCTAGCTTCAGCCTCAGCTCCTAGTCAAAACCAGCGTAGAACTTGTAGGACACCACACAAAATTCCAGTGTAGAGCAATCAGTTTACACGCAGGAAAATTATATAGAACTTTTAAATTACGGATGGGAAAAAATAAATTTATTCTGAGCCTTAATTTTGCACTACAAAAGAAGTAGAAGTGGAAGTACCTATAGGTTTAATTAGAGATTTATTTTCTTTAATTAAAAATACAAAGGTGCTACCGAAATCAAAAAGGTTTTGAAATATTTTCAAAAAAGATTTCAAAAATATACTACAAAATGTATAAATATTAATGTATCCATTTCTTACTTTGGACAATTTTTAATCCATTTTTTTAAGAATTTCAAAACGTTTTCCAAATACAACATATCTCGATTGTCCTTTTTGTAGAATTCTACTACTAAAGACACACAATTTTATAAAATATATATTCATATTTCATTAAAAAGTGTATGCCATTTCTTAAAAATGTTTCAAAAAGTATGCTATAAAATTTGTACCCTGGTTTTGATAAAAGGGACATTTTTATTGTATACTTTAAACACATTTTTAAGAGATTTTAAAATGAATTATTTTTAAACCTAGTTATTTTTTTGTTTCACCAACCCTTGAGATATATTTTTTTTTCGGTGTACCTACAACACCTGCCTTCTGGGATGTGGACACATTGTGACATATGACGAGTGTCTCTCACTCTGTCTAACATCTCGTTGCTATCTCTCTCTCACGCGTATCCCACGCTGGGACATTCCATTGCGGAAATTATGTACCAACATACCAATGCACAAAAACACATACGTTCAAGTACAGTGAGCACTCGGTTGTAGAGAAATGAGAAAATTAGATGTTGTGGATAAATATAGTTGAAATTATAATTGTTTTTATATTATTTGAACGTTTTTTTCTTTAATTTTTAAGTATTATATTCGTAGAGTTTTGGAGCTTAAAAAAAATATATTTGGAGTTCTTTTATTTAACTAATTCTGTGATTTTTATTTATTTATTAATATACTTTTGTGTGTATTTGATTTATATATTTTTAATGGTTATCCCTATTATTTCTGAATTTTTCCCTATTTATTAATTATAAAAGAACCTGGTTTATTGTAATAAATGCTGTAACTGTAAGCTATAATTGTTAACTGTTCATTATTGCTGAGGTCTCACTGCACCCGTACGGGGATGTCACACTCACGCACATCCATTTGAGGCTGACATTCCTGCGCCTGTGGCACGTTTTGTCCGACGTTTGCACATTGCCAGGATATAACTTGATCCTTAATGAAGACATCCAAACACACAAACAACAGGCTATATGTTTTGCTAAAATGGATGAGTGTGTGTATGTGGTGTGTGGGTGCCACAAGAATACGAAAATTATTCAATCAATCAGTCAAATCCATCAAGCAATTTCCGTAAATTAGTCGACTTGATGATTTCGAGATTCACAGTTTTTCCCTCAACTTAGCTAAGCTACCATTTATTTTTATAAACCTTTGGCTATATTTATTCCCTTCGTATAAATAAAGGAAATTATTAAACTTATTTTTACATATTTTACAACACAAATTTAAGCAAATCTTTAAGGCTTTATCATTGAGCAATAAGTATTTCCAGCTGATGCGTATAAAAGTCATTAATTTTATGGATTTTGGCTTCAAATATAATGGCAATAAACTTTAAAGTTCAGGGCCAAAATAGAAATTTAAGGTCAACAATTGCCAAAAGTCATAAATTTGACCAAAAGAATGATAGATGTGAAAATAGAAAATTGCGGCTAACAAGGATGGAAATATATAAATTTATGTATATGTTACATAATAAATATAATATATATAGTATATATTTTATTAAATATATTAAATAATATATATTTAATACACAAATATTATAATAATACAACTATTTCACCTTGTTTCCTATTCTGTCTCCCCAAAAAATGTTATTTAATTCCGTTTATGCTCTCAGTTTCATTTCGCACTTGACATTCCTGCTTGTCATCCATCAATCTGTGCTGTGGCTCATTAAATCCCAGGAAAATCAAGAGTAGAAACAGTCCGGAAAAGTTGCCTCTGACTGACCTCTGTCCTTCTGGGATTTCCCCCCGCCCCCGACCTTTTATCCTTGCCCTTTTCCTCGCACTTTCTGGCAGCTGTTGTAATCCGTTTAAAGTGTTTTTGCGGGTTGTAAACATTTCGACTTTTAATTCACTGACAGCGGTTCTTCATCTCTCTCTCTCTCTCTGTCTCTGTTATTTGTATATATCTGTCTCTGTTTTGGGGCTGACCACCGGCTTTGAGGTTTTCCCCGAGCTTGGAATAAAGGAGGCTTGGTGTTGTCGTCCAAATGAATGTTTTTCGGGGGTTTACCTTTGTCCGTTAAGAGTTTAATTTGCAAATAAAATGCCTGCCAATTAGTCAGGGAAAAATACGAATTCTATAAAGTAAACGAGAAATAAATTTAAATGTTATTCTGATAACCCACAAAAGAAAAGGAAGAAGAAAAGAATATTATTTAAAAATATATTTTCAATGGTTTCAATTTGATGCTTTAATTTATGCAAAACAAAGCAATTTGTCCAATTTTAATTAGCCAGAATTTACCCGGGGATTTATGCAATTAAATAGCGAAATTAATTGATTAAATTTGCATATACTTAACCCGTTCCTTAATCCCTTAACCTTTGCATGAAACCTAATGGGTTAAGTGGGGTTTTTGCTTTAGGGTTTGGCTGGTTCTTCAGGATTGTTACAGTAGCAGTAGGTTATGTCAACGCGTTGGACTTTAATTAATTACCGGGAAAATTGTTAATATTTGTTCAGTCCTCCCCCTCCCTTTTACTGGCTCCCTTTTGCCTTCGCCTTCGTTGAAACAAAAGCAAACATGACAAGGATGGAGGAGCCAGTTTTTGAGGGGAAGGAGGGGAAAAGGACCATGCTGAGTGCTTTGTCGTGTGGTCGTAATTTAATTTTTGCAGCAAAAACAGTAAAAAATAATGTGGTCGAAAGACGTCACGACCATGGAATATTCATGCTTTCTACATTATATATACAATTTATCCTCCTTCTACATGATACTTACAGGATTATTAATTCCCTGAAAAATAAACTATTCAATAAAACTAAAATCCACTACTTGCTTCGTCTTTAGGCTAGTACTTAATTATCAAATCAAAATTGATATTTTGAGCTTGAAATTAGTTAATTATTTTACTTAATTAGTATTATCTTGACAGTTTATTTTGACAGTGTGACCATGTTTGTATATAAAAGTTTCCAATAAACAGACAAAATACTCCTCCTTCTTAGAAAGAATTCTAATTAACCTCAAAAAGCATTCAAATTGAGAAAAGGTATATTTTAAGAAAATTATTATTTATTATCAAACAAAAATTGGTATTTTAAGTTTGAAATTAATATTTATTTTACTTATTAATCAGTTCTTAATTGATATTTACTTCTGCCAATGTGACCATGCTTCTACATAAAAAGTTCTAATAAGCAGACAAAAAATAAACCTCCATGTTATAAGAAATTCGAATTGGTATCAAACTGCATTCAAATTAAAACAAAATATTATAATATAAGTTTGAAATTAAAGTTTATTTTACTAAGTCATTAGTTACCATATCCTCTACCTTAATATAAGTTTCCTTTGAACTGAATTCCTAAAAGATCTCAAATTAATTCTTGTGAATCGGATAATTATAGGTTATTAGGATTATAAGATATAAAATAATATATGTTGCTTGTTACATTGCTTGCTTTTGTTATTTATAATTTTATTTTGTGCTATTTGGCATACCCTGTTCTCCCTTATAAAAATACAGGGTATTAAAAAGAGGGGCAGGCAAATCACCCAAAAGTGAAACCCACACCAAAAAAGGGGGGAAACGGAGAGTTTAACAAGAGAGCCTCTCGAAAGTATGCAATGCCAAATTATGCTATGTGAGAGCGCGCGCGTGTGTGTGTGTGTGAGCGGATGTACATGGCAAAATGCAAAATAGTGCTGCAGAGGCCACACACATACACACACACTCAGGTGCATAACCAAATACTTGCACTAAGCCAAATGGGAGCTACAAAAAAACAAACATACATATAGAAAGAGTAAAAAAGTTGAGGTAGAAAATGAATATTCCCTTAAAAAAAATAAAATTAAACTATGAATACAACTCTCTGTATATGTTTCATTTGATATATTTTTTCTTTTATTTTTGAAACCTTTTGTTCATAAAAAGGGTTAAAAAAAACCCCTATTAAAACCTATCAGAAACTTCATATGGTTTCAGAGAGGGTATTGCAAATGAAAAAGATTTTCCGCTGTCCATTTCATTAACATTTCTGCGGCTACCGTCAGGTACGTGACTTTTCAGGTGCGCGGATTGTGTATATGTATGTGTGTGTGTGCTTTGGGTGTGAGTGTGAGAGTGGGCGATATTCAATTGAAGCAGGACCAACAGAAAGAAAGAAAAAAAGAAAATGAAGGAAAATTCAACGCACACACACACACACACTGACACTCTGCAACGTATGCAAACATTTCCAAGCCGCACTGAAAGCGAGAAACTAAATATGAAACGAATTCCACCGAAGGCCAAACATTAAAACGGCGTGTAAATATAGAAATATAAGGTGAAATGTGCTGAAAATCTGCATATTGTATGCATGATCATGAAAAGGATTGGAAAACAAAATAATGCCAGTTTTTCCCATTTCTATTTAAAGTCAAAAGCAAGTAATTGAATAAAATTCAAGGGTTTTGGGATAACATTTTCATAAAGAAACCTTTTGTATATTACGCTTAAATACTAGAAATATTATAGCCTGAAGAGTTCTCAAATATTCATTTAGAAATAATATATTTATATTAAAAATTCAACATTTTATTAATTATTCTATACTTTTCTCTTACTTTCAGATGATGGAACATGCCTGGCACAACTACAAACTGTATGCTTGGGGCAAGAACGAGCTGCGTCCTTTGTCGCAACGTCCACATTCGGGCAGCATTTTGGCTCTTACGATTTGGGTGCCACAATTGTGGATGGTTTGGATACCCTGTATATTATGGGACTGGAGAAGGAGTATCGTGAGGGTCGTGACTGGATTGAACGAAAGTTCTCACTGGATAACATCAGTGCCGAATTGAGTGTCTTCGAGACAAATATTCGATTTGTTGGCGGCATGCTAACTCTGTACGCCTTCACCGGGGATCCCCTGTACAAGGAGCGGGCTCAACATATTGCAGACAAACTCCTGCCAGCCTTCCAAACCCCCACGGGTATTCCTTATGCCTTGGTTAATACAAAAACCGGTGTGGCCAAGAACTATGGCTGGGCATCGGGTGGAAGTTCAATCTTATCAGAATTTGGAACCCTGCATTTGGAGTTTGCCTACTTGAGTGATATCACTGGAAATCCATTGTATCGAGAACGAGTTCAGACCATTCGCCAGGTGCTCAAGGAGATTGAGAAGCCAAAGGGCCTGTATCCCAATTTCCTTAATCCCAAGACGGGTAAATGGGGACAACGTGAGTATAGATTGTTTAAGGAATTGAAGAGTTTAACTAATTATGATAATTATTCTATGCAGTTCACATGTCCCTGGGTGCTCTGGGTGATAGCTACTACGAGTATTTGCTGAAAGCCTGGCTGCAATCGGGACAAACGGACGAGGAGGCACGCGAGATGTTCGATGAGGCTATGCTGGCCATTCTGGACAAGATGGTGCGCACCAGTCCCGGTGGACTGACCTATGTCTCTGATCTTAAATTTGATAGGTTAGAGCATAAAATGGATCATTTGGCCTGCTTTTCGGGTGAGAAACCACTTCAATTTGAATTATTTTTAATATTTTAAATATTTACTTTAATATTTTCTAGGTGGCCTGTTTGCCTTGGGTGCTGCCACAAGGCAAAATGATTATACGGACAAGTACATGGAGGTGGGCAAGGGCATTACAAACACCTGCCATGAGAGTTATATAAGAGCGCCCACACAACTGGGACCCGAGGCCTTCCGGTAAATACATTCTACTCTCAAATAATTAAAGCAAAGGATATAATTACAAATGTTTCAATTACAGATTCAGCGATGCTGTGGAGGCCCGAGCTTTGCGATCACAGGAGAAATACTATATCCTGCGACCAGAGACCTTTGAGAGCTACTTTGTCCTGTGGCGACTCACTCATGACCAGAAATATCGCGATTGGGGCTGGGAGGCGGTCCTGGCCCTGGAGAAGCACTGCCGCACGGCCCATGGTTATTGCGGTCTGCGAAATGTCTACCAGCAGGAGCCGCAAAAGGACGATGTCCAGCAAAGCTTCTTCCTGGCCGAAACACTAAAGGTAATAGTGCTTTTTCTTTAACTTGAAGAGTCCCAATTAATGTGATATGATTTGTTTTTTCGTTTGCAGTACCTGTACTTGCTGTTCTCGGACGATTCGGTGCTGCCGCTGGACGAATGGGTGTTCAATACGGAGGCACATCCTCTGCCCATCAAGGGAGCGAATGCGTATTACAGGCAGGCGCCCGTAACGCTCCCAGCATCCAATGCCTCGTAAACGGCATAGCTCTGCACTTTACTTAGCTCTCAGTAATGGCATACTTAATGTGTGTGGGAGATAGCACTAAACCACCTCTCTCCCCCTCTCTCTCTTTTTTTTTTTTTTTTTGTTAGTTTTGTATAAGTTTTTAGGTAGCTTACACGTAATCTCAGCGGGGAATCTTTCAATTGTAACATATTTATAAAGCTTGCACATACATGAATATATATTAATATGTATATGTATATGTAGGAAGCCAAAAGAAAAAAAAAACGGATATATCGTAGTTTAGTTTTTAACTGTTTGCACAAGATCCTCAAAACTCTCTCTCTACCTATCTTTGATTTCTTAAATAATAATAATAATAATCCAAATATTTGACAGAGGCGATGATATGAGGCGACCTCAATTTCCATTTAAAGGCGAATGATATTACTTACGATATTGATGATGATATGATATATGATACATAATGATAATGATAAATGTAAAACTCAGGTGTTCTAATTATGATTTACCTTGCGTTGCACAAGGCACTTTCTGACTAACTAGCCACGTAGTTACGTAAGTAACACTACGTATCTCTGAAGCATTCAATGTCGCATATATGGCGATATATTGATGATGATCTGATGCTTTCCAATTCGAATCTTTTGATCACTTTCGTTGTGTAAATAACTTCTTAAACTTTCCTCGCAAAAATGAAGGGCAAACGACGAAAATCGAATTGATATTTATACAGATAAATAAATATATATATACAGATATATATATATTCTTACACAATATTGTTTACTTTGTAGCCTAAATGTTTAAGCATAAATCTAATCTAGGACCTAGCTCCAGAACATCAAGCGAAACGAAAGCGAAACTAAATTAAATATACTTATACGAGAATACAATTAAATAAATAAATAAATAAATCTATATATATTTGTATTTAACTAAATCAAATAAAACGTAGGCAATTGTTAAAAAAAGTAAACGTAATTATACAATAGCACGAGCTGAGCGAATGGTAATTTAATTTTTAACAAGTGTAAAGGTTTTTTATACACATAAACAATACCAATTACAATAATCATATTTTTAATTCTATTTATAAAATGTAATCCATAGCCATAAGCCACACGCAGCAGCAGCATGAATTGTAGAAATATTTAATTGTTTGTTTTTTTTATATATATATATATATATATATTATTGTAACATACACAGCCCGTGCTGTGTAAAGTGATCTAACAAGAGTAAACAAAGGAAATAATAATAATAATAATTTAGGCTAAGAAATCGAAGAATTTTAAATGAAACTTTTAACGCAACGATATAATATCAAATTAAATCAAACCATAAAAATGCAAATAATACAAGAGGGAAATCCACTAAAAACATAAATTAATTCAAAGTCTAAGGATAGTCTTTACACCACACACACACACACACATTTTTTTTTTTGTTAGATCAAATTAGAATTGCGGATAGATTTATCTGATGACGAAAATGAAGACGTCATTATTCAGATTCAAATGGAAATTTGTAAATGCAAAATCTTAATTGTAGTGCATGGACGGCAGTCCCTGAGCTGCTGGAAATGACAATTGTATTTTGCCTAAATCATAGGTTTAATAAAGATCTAATAATTAACTTATAACTTGTGACTTTTTACTCTTCTAAACTGTTTTGTAATTGCTTTGGGAGCTTGACTTGATAACAGGTTCGAGGGAACTTTCTACTTGGACCTGGAGCAGACTGCTATTAGATGTTATTAGATCCGAAACAAGATATAGATACATATATTTGAAAATACGTGAAAGTAAATATGAAAAGTTAGTATTTTCGGAAAGCCGAAATAGCCTTACTATACAAAGATATATATAATATTAGCTGATAAATATAAATGTAAGACTTACCGGAGTAGACCACAAATGAGGATAGCCATCTTCTTCTAGACCAAGATATTCAGAACAGCCTCTGGAAAAGGGAAAAGCAGAGAAAATGAGACAGAAATAGAGGATGACAGAGATAGAGATTAATGACCTTATAAGTAGATAAATAATAAGAGAGATAGAAAGATAAATAGGAAAAGATAGTTATGTAGATAGAAAGATAAATAAATAAAGTGCTATAGAGCGAGACAAATAGAAAGAGAAATGAAAGGAGAAATAGAGAAATGGGAAGAGAGGGAGAAAAATAGTGATAGCAAGATAGAGACTTAGGGAAATAGATTTTGATGATGGGTAGGCAAAGATTCAAGAGATCGAAAGAGATACACAGACAGAGAAAGTTAAATGGAGAATGTGATAGAGATAGAGACAGATATGTATAGGCAGAGAGAAAAAGAAAAAGTAAGACAAAGGATAAATAAAAAATAAAGAGAGAGCGAGAGACAGTAAAAGAAAGAGATAGAGATACAGAGAGTAAAATAAAGAGAGAGAGAGAGTAAAAGAAAGAGAGAAAGATAGATATAAGTAATCTATACAGAGAGTTAGAGTGAGAGAAGTAGATGTAGAGATATATCTATGGATAATTCTAGAAACAAACAAATAGAAAGAGATATCGAGACAGACATACAGACAGTAAGTAAAAGAGCGAGAGTGAACCAGAATCTATGAATGAGCGAGACTGAGATAGATATATGAATAAAAAGAAAGGGAAGAAAGCTAAGTTAACAGATTTTGTATCAGCTAAGGTATGTAAATAGATATTAATAACTCGATTTGTATACCTTTGCAGGGTATTTTAATTTTAGTCAGAAGCTTGTAACGTCCCGAAGGAGTCATTTCCGACCCTATAAATTATATGTATTCTTGATCAGCAGCAACAGCTGTGTCGATTTAGCACACTATGGGAAAGAAATATTTTTTTTTTTAATTTTGTCAAAATTTAATAAAAGGTTACATCTTTAAAAAATTTAATAATTGATATAATTTTTACATTTTTGAATTAAATTAAATTAAATTAATTGTTGTCTTTGTTCTGATATTTGAAAAAATTTGGATTTGCCCAAAAACATATAAAAATATTGATCTAAATTCCCTATAATTGACATATTTTATGTCTTCTTGATAACATGATGATGATGATGACCCTATAAATCATATATATTCTTGATCAGAATCAACAGGCGAGTCGATCTAGCTGAGTTTGAAAGAAAATTTATTTGTTTTCAAATTTTATAAGAGGTTACATCGTTAAAATTTTCAAAAATTGGTAGAAAATGTTAATTTTTTTAATGTTAAATTTAGTATACAGATTGATTACCCAAAAAAACAAAAGACATAGGAAAGCTTTCCAAATTAAAATGAATGTCTAATTGGCTTAGTTATCAGTTTTTAAACTTTGATTTTTCAAAAGAAATATGCTTATATAAAAATATTGATTTAAAATATACGAATATTTGATAGATTTTCGAAACGCTCCTATAATTAAATTGAAAACTGCAAGGATATATAAACTTCTGCTTTCCGAAGTTAATTTTCCCTCTTGTTTTAAATCTAATTTCATTATTAAACAAATAAAATCAAACATCTTGTTAATAAAGAAGTTATTAAAATATGATATGATATTATGATTATGAATACTCATCTGTTCCGATCCGTTTCGACTGGAATCAGACTACATACAAATATGCCACTTAAAATTCTCAAAAAATTACAACAAAAAAATGCGCTTATATATGTAAATAAACTAATTACCTTTGTAATGAGCTTGCTTAATTTGGTCACGTTTTTGCGTTGCCTGCATTAGTTGTATCTTTAAACAAGGCTCTTACGACAAATGCCATTAGAAGTTGCCATATTTGCTAAGCTTTTTCCTTTCATTTTGTAAATATTTTTTTAACACTCAATTCGCGGCTAATTGGTCTGACTAAAACAAGTATTCCCCGACTGCGACCCCCATTGATTGCTCTAGATATATATATATATGTTTGTTCATATGTAGATATGTGTATTTGCCTCACAATGGCACTTTAAGCAGTCGTCGGAGTTCAATTAATGAGCAGTCAATACAGATGCAAGATGCAGGCAGAGACGAATTCCAACGGTGCGTATACTTAATGAAGAAAGTTGCACAAAAGGCGAACACACAAAACACAAAGCGGTGAGGTTAACAACATTTGCCGGCGATTCGAGAACCCGGAAAGGGAATCCGTCGCGACAGTTCGCGAATCATCCCCCACCTCCTTTGATTAACCCCAATTAAACCACTAACTGCACTGGCTTTTATACTTTTAAAGTTGTACCCTCTTTTTAATAGCTTTTTAATATTTTTTAAATAAAATGTAAGTTTAGTTTTAGTTAAAACTACATTTTATTCAATTAAATTCCATAAATTTTATATTTATTAATATAAAAATATTCCATGTGACAGATCTATCCCCTGCGTCTTTAGAGGGTTAACAACGATTGAATGGGCAAAGTCCGAATTTTGCCTTCACAGCATAAGATCTCTTGGAATGGGAGAGTAACGGTTTGGATGTGAACTGGAAGTGGAACCATAAAATGGTGGAGTGCCAAAGCGACGGATTGCACTTACCACCCACTCACTCACCGCCCAACGGAGAGAGACAGTGAGAGTGAGAGTGAGAGTGAGAGTGAGAGAGAGCGATAAAGTTGATACTCACTCAGACCGGTCTCTTCGTTTGCTCTCGTTCATTCTCCCTGTCTCTTTGTGTTCTCTGTTGTCATTATTCGCTGCTGTTGCTGTTGTTGTTCTTGTTGTTGTTGTTGCTACTTCTTTGTTGACTAGACGAGCCCGCCGAACCAGCTAGGTGTGTGTGCGTGTGTGTGTGTGTATATGTATGTGTGCTCCTTGTAGCATGGCAATGCCTTTGGTTGCGGAGTAAATTTTTAATCAAGGTGTTTTTTAAATACTCTAAGATTATGGTTTTTTAATATTTAAAATTGAAGTATTCGTTTTTTATATTTAAAATTATTTTTTAGTTTCTTTAATTTTAAAATTTATATACCAGTTTTTTATATTTAAAATTTAAGTTTTAGAAAAACTACGTAAATTATATGTTGAAACTTTTATCTAAATAGTTGAATTTAATTTTATTTGAAAATAATTAGAAGTATTTGTGTAAATGTGAGATATAAATATGAGAAAAAAAAAAATATTTTAAAACGTTTAATTAAATGGAATTTTGAAATAATTATTAGTTTATCAATATTAGTTTCTTTTATATTTAAAATTTAAATATTAGAAAAACTACCTAAACAATATATTAAAACTTTTATCGAAAAGGGTTAATTTAATTTCATTTGAAAATATTCAGAAGTATTTGTGTAAATATGAAATATAATTATGGGAAAATTACGATAAAAATTATAGATAACATAAAAAAAAAATAAACATTATAGATAGTATTTATTTATTAAAAATAAATTCTTTAAAACGTTTAAATAAATGGAATATTGAAATAATTATTAATTTATTTGCAAATAATATTTGTATAAAGTAAATTATGTGTATGAAGTAATTATTTTTATATTATTTTTATTCATTATTATATTTTTAAGTAATATTTATATTATTATTTCAACCTGTAGGGTATTTGCCGGTCGACTCTGCCCGCCTATGACTTGACGCCGCCTCTCTTTGTGCTTGGCTTGTTTTTGTTTTTTGTTTTGGTCGTTGACGTTGCGGCGTCGCTTCTAGCAATCCGCACAGTTCGCATCGAGACTTCAAGCAGAGCAGCAGCGACTCCAGATACAGATACAGCGACAGCTAGAGATACAAAGATACTTTGGCGGATCGAGACCAGGAACAGATACACAGAGATCCAGTCGCTATTTCGTTTTATATTTTGTTACTGTGCAGTGCCAGATCCAGTCAGTGAAAATGCCGTTCCCCATTCATCCGCCCAAGCAGATGCCGTGTCCCCACTGGCAGCACTTTCCCATCAGTCCGGTGGACAGCAAACCGAATCCCTTCGATTCCATGGGCGGAGCAGCTTCAGCGGCCACACATTCCGGGATGGGTGCCACCACCAAGCCACCGGAGCCGGTCTCCTATCGCTATTGCCTGCAGTGCAAGGCATCCGGGAAGGAGATGATGGGCGGCAGCTCCTCCGACCGGGAGTAGTGACCTCCGGGTTGCCAAAAAGGTGACATTGCGGATATACATACATAGCTGCCGTAATCAGCAGCCACTTCAATAGAGGACACTAGAAGCTTTCTTGCTTGGAAATCCAATTAAAAAGCAAGCACAACCCTTACGCAGAGGAAATTATTGCAATTTTTAAGTATCGAAAATAATACCCATATGAAGCCTTAATTAATTAATTTCTTTGAACCCAAGCAAAGCTCCAGCCATACATAATTTACGCATATATTCTAAGAGTGATCCCATTCCTATATTTTGTACATTTTTCTATTCTTTAAAATGAAAAATTTCATTGAGAAAATATGAGCATTTAACAAACTATTTTTAAAATGAGAAATGTTTATTCAAAGATCAAAGGTCCATGTGTTATACCGTATTTTTTTCTGTGTACCTTGTGATTATTTAACCCTAAGCACATGTTCCATTTATATTATATTATTTCTTATAAAATCTGTGTAAAATGTTTATGTTGCCAATCATTAAGTTAAGCATTTCGTACGTATTTAATTTGTATTTAGAGCTAAAGACTAAAGTTTTATACATTTCTTTTTGATACCAATATATTTGTATAAGAAGCGCTAATAAAAAACGCACGACGCATTTTAAAAAACGAGTTCTACACAAATACATAAGCATCGATAAACATATATACACACCATATGCTGCTGGTTTTTTTCAACTCAGACTTTGTTGTTTGTTTTCGTTTTCGGTTTCGGTTTCGTTTTCGTTCTGGGTTTTGAGTTTTTCTGCCTGCTCTCGGTTTTCAGTTTTTATCAAATTTCTCAAGGTCACCGATTGAGCGGCGACCGCGGGAAGGTGCGATAAGAACAAAGATTTGATTTTTTGATTTCGAAAAATCGGGAAAAGTGCCTTGGAGTGTCTTCTTTATTTCAGCGTTGTATTTATAACGAGACAAAGTTCAACAAACTGTTGTAATTAAGCGAAAAGCCAATGAAAATGGGGGCGTGGCAGGGTGGCGGAGAATCGACGAGAAGGGGAAGGGCAAGAAGTGGGCCCAAATAACAACTGCATTCGCTCGCCGCATGCTAAATAATTGAGCACAGTTTTCGCCGAGTTCATTTATATGCATGCGAAGAATCGCATACATTGAGAGAAATTGTTATTATAAAAAATAACATAAAAAATAATTCTCGAAAATAGAATTACAAATTATAATCATTATTAATCAGATACTTATCTATGACCACTAAGTAACTATGATCAGAAAGTAACTCTGAACATTAAGTATCTATGAACAGTACGTATCTGTACTTAACTATGATCAGTAAGTATCTATAACTAATAAGTATATATGATCAGTTACTAACTTTAAACACTTGTAAACAATGACTTGCAAGTTTTGTAACACAACACATATCAGAGACTTGGCTGGTAGAAGTCACTTCGTTCCGGGGATGTTAGAACTAGTTGGGAATCATATGCACGGATGTGCGAGATTTGTTTTGGAACAAAGGACAAGCTTTTTGACTGAAACTGTAGAGTTATTCTTCTATATAATTTTACTGGTATATAAATCGGAGCATGGCGAATCGGTGGACTATATATATATATATACGTATATATAGCTTCTATAGGAACAATCGGAAAATTATAAAAAAAAAACATAACTTTTCCAGTATTCAACAGATTTTGATCAAATTTGATATACAGGCATTATATAGTAATCTAGATTATTGTGTAAAATTTTATAAAAATCGAATTACTATATCATATAGCTGACATACAAACGATCCTTAAAAATGGAGGAAAATGCAAAACGGTGATTGTAAAACTGTAAATATTAAATGTATAAGTGAATCAAATAAAAGAAGGCATTACTTTATTGATTTTTTAACATAAATATATACACATTAGTTATATTCTATTGATTAGTAATGATCGAATTACAATTTGCAATAATAAACAAACTTTGGTGAGCGGAAGTTAGCTTCCGTTCATATAATATTATAATATTTTAATATCAGTTTCTTAGCTTGCCTCTATAGGCCTCTGCCTCCCTCTCTCTCTCGCTCTCTTTCCTACTCACTATAATGTTTGGTATGTCTGCCTCTTTCTGTTGCAGCTCTAGAGAAGGCGCTTACGCTCTATCTCTCTCTGTTGCAGCTCTAGAGCTAGCTCTTTCCCTCTCGCTCTTTTTCTCTGTTCTCTTCACTCGGGAAGTATAAATAGAGGTGCTGTGATCGCCGCGACCTCAGTCAGTCCTAGGGGTACCTAGTGTTAACATCGTTAGTGATAGTGATAGTGATTACAATTCGACCTCAAAAATATGACGTGGCCATTGGAATACATTCGGATAACTAGGAAGTGATCATTGATACCATGATTACCCTAATTAAAGCAACCAAGATTATAAGTCTACACTGGAGGGAAGTAAACAATGACGTGTCCTCTACTGGGGTAAGTCTTAACCATGACAATTATATATTATACTTATTATAATATTATATCATATACATATATATATATAAATGATATAGGAGGTATTCAGACCTTGATCTAGATTAAGTTCTGCTAGCTATGCATTTAGTATACCCTTGCAGGGTATTATAAATTTAGTCAGACCATATAAAGTATATATGTTCTTGATCAGCATCAACAGCCGAGTCGATCTAGCCATGTCCGTTTCAGTTTTCAAAAGATTTTCATCAAATTTAATATATAGCTGATATATTTTAATCTAGAATTTTGTGTAACATTTGATAAAAATTGGACTACTATATCATATAGCTGTCATACAAACGATAGTTAAAAATAGGGAAAAATTCTTATTCTTAATTTAAACATATTTAGATATGTATATCCATCTATCTTATGGTTTGGAAATTGAAATCCATTTCAATCTACAAGGCATACCATTTTCATGGCTCAACTCATTTAACATTATTTTATAGCAATATTTAATATAAACAGGTTTATATGTTGAAAGAAATCTTGCATTATTTTTGTTCAGAAATCATATTTAAGGAAGGAAATTATGAATATATTTTATATAAATTTTTAAATTGTTCTTGAGTAGCTTGGGTATACTTTTTCTTTCTGTGTAGCACTGTATCTATGTACACACGTTTGTATGCTTTGCACACATGTCTGTACTATATTTAACCTTATCGCGTGAGTCCGCGAATGCGTGTGCGAAAAAAAAAATAGTAAGCAAATAATACTGACAATCAAATAGTTTACGTTACCCTCTGCCAATATGTCCGATATTCCCCGATAGGTTGAATTAGCGGATCGAAATGACATATTTCAACATTCAATTTTCGGGCTACACATTTCGGCAATTCGTTCTAATTAATAAGTTTATGGGCCAACATTTTCAATGCTTATCTCCGCTGATACGGTCGTTATCAGACTTTTGGGTCTGGCTAACGTGCCCCCAAAAATGACACAAACACACATATATATATTTCGAGATAAAGCGAAAGTAAATATTAATAACTTGTACATAAATGAGACATATAAAATATAATACTTAAATAAGAATGAAAGCTTTGTCAATATTATTATTAATACTTATTAATGGCAAGAATAATATAATATTTGAATGTGATTAAACATAATATGTTCATAATGGCTATAATATCTTTTATTATTTTTTTATACCCATGTGCGTTATTATAATTTAGTCAGAAATTTGAAACGTAATGAAGGAGTCGTTTCCGATCCTAAATAGTATTGGAAATGTATACTGTATATATAATTTTTTACCCTTGCAGGTTATTATAATTTTAGTCAGAATTTTTCAACGCAGTGAAGGATTCATCTCCGTCCATGTAATGTTTTTTATTCTTGATTATTTATCTAATTTGCTTCAAAGCTATTTTTTATTATTATAGAATTTCGTTTTAAGTTTTATAAAAATCGGAATACTATATAATATAACAGCCAGAGAAACGGTCAAATGTTGAGAATCAGTAAGTATCTTTGACCAGTAAGTATCTATGATCTATGATTAACTATGATCAGTAAGTATCTATAACTAATAAGTATGTATGATCAGTTACTAGCTGTGAGCACTAATAAACAATGACTTCCAAGTTTTGTAGCAACAAATTTCTGAGACTTGGCTGGCAGAAGTCACTTCGTTCCGGGGATGTTAGAACAATTTGGGAATCACATACACACATGTGCAAGATTTGTTTTGGAACAACAGACAAGCTTTTTGACTAAAACTGTAGAGTTATTCTTCTATATAATTTTTCATATAAGTCGGAGCATTGCGAATCGGTGGACTATATATATACATATATCCAGTTTTTAACAGATTTTCATCAATTAAACATATAGCAATTATAAATATAGAATTTATAGACTGAGGAGAATGAAAAACGGTGATTTTTTTTTTAACATAAATATATATAAGTTATATTTTATTAATTAATAATGATCGAATTACAATTTGCAATGGTATACAACATTTGGCGGGAGGAAGTTAGTTTCGGTTCATTTAATATTATTATAATATTGTAATGACAGTGAATAGCTTACTCTCGCTCTCTCTTTCTCTATGCCTCTATAGGCCTTTGCCTCCCACACTCTTGCTCTCTTTCTTACTCACAATAACATTTGGTATGCCTGCCTCCCTCTGTTGCAGCGCTGTAGAGATGGCGCTTACTCTCTATCTCCCTCTGTTGCAGCTACAGAGGTAACTCTTTCCCTCTCGCTCTCTTTCTCTGTTATCTTGCCTCGGGAAGTTTAAATAGAGGCACTTCGATCGCCGCGACCTCAGTCTGTCCTAGGGGTACCTAGTGTTAACATCGTTAGTGATAGTGATAGTGATACTTCAAATATATGACGTGGCCATTGGAATACATCCGGATAACCAGGAAGTGATCATTGATACCATGATTACCCTAATAAAAGTGACCAAGATTCTAAGTCTATACTGGAGGGAAGTAAACAATGACGTGTCCTCTACTGGGGTAAGTCTTAATCATGACAATTATATATTATACATATATAGATATATGCTATAGAAGGTATTCAGGCCTTGATCTAGATTTAGTTCAGCTTGCTATGCATTCATTTTACCCTTGCAGGGTATTAAAGTTTTAGTCAGACCATATAAAGTATATATATTCTTGATCAGCATCTACAGCCAAGTCGATCTAGCCATGTCCGTTTGTCCGTCTATCTGTCCGTTTCTACGCAAACTAGTCTTTCCTGTTTTAAAGCAATATAAATGAAACCTTACAGTTAGTCTTCTATTTACTCTCACTCGTAGATTATATATGTCGGAACGGGCCGAATCGGACGACTATATCACATACCTGGAATTGAAACGATCGGAAAATTAAAAACAAAAAATTATAACTTTTTCAGTTCTCAACAGATTTTCATTAAATTTAAGATGTATTCTTCTTATATTATTCTACAATATTGTGTAAAATGTCATGAAAATCGGAACACTATATCACATAGCTGTCATACAAAAGATCGTTAGATACAGAGGAAATCACAGTAATGTGAATGTAAAACTGTAACTGTAAAGATGTTTTTTGACATAAATATATATAATTTGTATTGTATTAATTCCTAGTGACCGAATTTTAATCTGCAAGAGTCCCGAAGTTAGCTTCCTTTCTTGTTTTAAATTTGAAATTTAGTATGCAGATTAATTAATGTAATAAAAATTAAAACAGGAAAACTTTCGAAAGAAAAATATTCTATCGGTTCCCGAAGTTTATTTTTTTTTTATAGTTTTATTTTATTTATTTAGAGACCTCATAAATCTGACAAACAATTGTTATTTATCTTGTGTTTGACTCCTTATCAAATTTAATTATTTATATATTTTTGTTAATGCTTGTTGAAGCTTTTCACTGCTGATCGCTATGATTTTATTAAGGAAGGGTAGCTAAGTTATCTTTCTTGGGGGTAAGCTCCATCAGCTGTTTAATTTTCACAAGCTTTTCGTTTGAATTTTTCGCCAACCGGCAATTCGAGCTTTGGTGCTGACAGTTCAGCTTTTCCACCCAGAATCTAGCTTGATATATATCCTATATCATGGCTTTAAATTTATCCTTAAGCTGTAACAAGTAACAAAAATGCTGGATAATTTAAATTCTTAATTAACTTATCTATATTTACACAAAGTTTTACTATATTCATTATGTTTGTGAATTAATTAAAGTGTTTTGATTTCAAAACGCTTTTTATATCCTTGCAAGGTATTCATATTTGCATAAAATTTGTCAGAAACTTGAAAATAAGCAAAGAATTTATTTCCGACCCTATAAACCATATATATTCTTGATTAGCATCATCAGCCGAGTCTATTGAGAAATTTTCCTAAACAAATAAAAAATGTACCCATTTTTTCAAGGTTTTAAAAGGGCTAACATCATTAAAATTGTCAAAAATAGACAACAATTTTAATGACGTTAATTTTAACGTTTTAAGAGGCAGATTTATTTATTTATTACTCAATTAAACCTTACACGGATTAGCTTAAAAAGAATTTAAAGGATTTGGCTTTTTTCCTTGCAAAAATTTGGGACAGCACTGCTTGCGGCTCTCCCACGCTTTCTCTTTAATGGCGGCATGCGCCGCTCTCTCGTGAAGCTGCTTCTGCGAGTGTTTTCCCGTTAGCTTTTTAATCATGTGCCACGCGCTCTGCTTTGCTCCTGTGCCGCAGCTTCCTTGGCCCCTCATCATCGTCATTGTACGCATCGCATGGCATTCGCAATTGCGAGAGGAGACGACGCAGTAAAAGCAGCAGCAGTAGCAGCAGCAGCAGCAGCAGCAGCAGCAGCAGCAGCAGTAGCGGCGCAGCAGAGAAGCCGCAGCAGCAGCTGCCAAGCAGCAGCAGTCGCAAAATCGCAAGCAGACAGTCGCAGTCGCAAGCAGAGCAGCAAGCAGTTGCAAGGGCGCCGCCTCCGTCGAGTTGAGTTCTACTTCGTTTTCTTCGCCTTTTTATCCTCCTATTTTCTTCGCTCTTTTTCCACCCGTTTTACGCATTAGGAACGTGTCCTGATTTAGCAGTTGTAAAAATAATATGAGAGTAAAAGAAAAAAGGAAAGAAAACAAAAACAACAAAATGCAGTAGCAGCAGCAGCAGCAGCAGCAGCAGCAGCGGCAGCTAAAGAAGAGGAAGCCCCGTGAGTGGTACAATTGTAAATCGCAACGGTAAATGTGCGACGCGTGTGCCAAATTCCTTTTCAGCTATTCGCGATTTCTACTCTCTCCCTCTTTCTCTTTCACTCATTCCTATTTTTTTTTGTTGATTTATCAAAAAATATTTTATAAGCTGCTGCTGTTGTTGTTGCTTGCTCTCTCTTTTTTTATCAGTGTGTGATGGTAATTTTTTTTTTTTTGTACAAAAAGTGCGGGAAGTGCAAAAATACAAATTAATGAAAAACAAGTGCACGGAAAAGTGCTAAAAATTCACAATAGTCTTAATTAACGGTTGTTTTCCCCTTTGGGTCGGTCGCAACAGGCCCCCAATGTCCCATCTCTTTCGCGCTCCCTACTCCTCCGCACCTGCACCTCTTCCCACCCCCCGTGCTCCTTTTTATCCCACTCCACCTCATTCTCCACCTCATGCTCTTTGACTACGTCACACATATTCTAAATGGGTGTGTAGGCCGAGTTTAGTGTTGTTTTCTGTTTTATTTTATTTTTTTTTTCATTCGCTGGTAGGCAAGTGTATGTGAGTGTGTGTGGAAGGCAATAAAATGTCATAATGGTTGTTGTAGGTTCTAAAACCCCCTCCCTCCCACAGCAACCACAAAAAGCACTCTCAATTAAACAAAAGGCAGTGCAATATAGCATAAAACATCCAAAATATTACACACATCACCAATAAGGAACAGGAAGTCTAAAAAAATATATATAAATAATATAAAAGAAAGGATAGGGAAATAGGCGAGAAAGCGACTCCAAAAAAACGGAAGTTGCAAAAGCAAAGCCGAAGAGATGGAAAAAGGAGAAACTTCCGCTGATAAAGTGACCCAAATATGGCAAGGAAACCACACATGTTTAAGAAAATCCATTCAATAAATAGAAAAAAAAAAGGCAAAGGCACTCTGGTACAGAAAATAAAAAGGATTATTTTCCTGAAATCCCCAGAAACAGGCAATAAAGAAATAATTATGATTTAAATACTTAAATACGTACTTTCCTCACAATGAATTTAAACGAAAAATTGGGACGCCCTTTAAAAAATGATTTAAAAGAAAATATCCAAACACCCAGAAACAGAGAGTTCAGGAAATATTAAATATAAAATCGATTTTAAAAACATTCTGTAAATAATAATAACAAATGCCAAAATACTCCCTTTCAAATGAATTTCCCTCGTTGAGAGGCATCAAAATCATGGCAAACATTAACAATTATTTATTTAATTAAAAAAGGGAAGCACATTAAAAGCATTTAGCTCATTATTAGTCCATAAAACTGTGTTAATCAGCAGGAATGAATCCCGTTTAATAGAAACCCGAAATAAATCAATTAAATTTAATTGAAAGAAGACAACAACAATGCAGGATATAAAATTAATGATTAGCAGGGTGTTTTTTTTTTGGTTTTTTGTTGGGATAGCAATAAAAATGGCAAAAATGATAGCAATGCCATTTTGTTGTAGGGTCATGTCTTTTTATTTCATTTTATTATTTTTGTTTGTTTTTTATTTAAGGAGGGGGATGTGTGTGTGTGTGTGTGTGTGTGTGCGGCTTCAAGTGCCCCGCCTCGGAGCCCCCCCTTTGAGCCACCATTCTTATCGTTGAAGAGTCACGTTTTTGACCCATTTTCACATGCTGTGCCTAAGCCCGTTCAGATGGCATAAAAAGCTAACTGCTCTTCTTCGCCCATCAAGCCATTAACCCATGCAGCCCAGCCACTTAACCCTCGAGTGGCTCTCGCTGATGTAATGCCATTCGATTTGATTTGCCATGGTTAACCAGATTTGCTTGGCATAGCCACAGTCATTCGGCATTTTGCGGTTTCTAGCGCCTATGTAAAGGACTACACTGTACAAAATTGGCATGCAATTAAGGATAAATATAATCAAATGTTCAGAATTACATTTAATAAAATACGCTGCATCCACACAATAAACATATTAACCATATGTTGTATTCTTATTAAACAAATTATAAATATATAAAATTTTTAAATTTATCCCTAATAATAAATATCCTTTCGCCTTCCCATTTCCGTATTAAATAAATCTCCCCTTCCCCCCATTTGTACATATCAATATATAAAAAATTTGGCTTGCATCGCATTGTTTTTGTTTTGTTTTTTTTTCAGTGGAGTTCCTACACATTTCCTACAAGCTTTCGTACCCTGCACTTGGCCCATTCATTTCTCTCAGTGCACATATGTTAATGTCCGTGTGTATGTGGATCAGAGTGTAGGATTGGCTGATTACTTGCCACATGGGTGACGAGATAAGTCAGTAAGTTGATGGCCTCAATTTGCGTACGACTCTAATTTTGTTTGCTTTTTGGCTCCCATTAGTTAACCCATTGGTGCCCCATCGGGTGACCAGCGCCGCCTTGTTGCTCAGCGAATCCCCAGTTGCCACAATCGTCCAGTTGCCGGCCGCAATGAGCCACTGACACGCCCCCGGGGCTTCTCCCAGTCGGACCTAACCCCACTTATCTTATCGCACGTGCCCGCCTGGACATGGAGTAGCAAAACAACTCAACTCGAGCAAACTAGAAAACTGGAAAGCCATACAACTGGAAAACCAAAAAAAAAAACCAAGTGAACCGACTGAGGCCCCCCTAAACATCGAAACACAGGCGCAAGCAAAAGGACTCGTCTATTGGTGAGTATTCCAATTAGAGCAAGGATGGGCACATAATTTCAACTTGGGAGCCTGATATAAAAAGGACTACCCCTAAGTTGCAGAAGATCACTCACAGTAGGACTTCTCCGTTGATTTATTATATTTAGTTAGTTTTTCTATTTATGTATTAATTCATATTAGTGGTTAGATTGCCAACAAAAGTCATTAGAGTCTTTAAAAAAGGCTTTAGCTATGTGTCATAATCATTAAAATGAGGTTTGAGGTCTTGAAATACTATTATTACTTATGTACTATTACTTTTTTATATATTTTTCTTTTAGTAAAGTCATTAAACAACTTTAAACTTAAAAAAATATACGGAAGGCTAACAGGAATCACTAAGATTTTGAATGCTCTTAAAAGTATGCTACAAATTTTGACAGAATTAGGTAATTCCCACATTATTACAATACGTGTTTAGGAAACTTCAAACCTGAGCTTTTTTTAGTCAGTTAAAAAACAACAAATAATATAGTATATGTATATATAATATAGTAATATGTAATAATATAATATATGTAATTAGAACCGGTATTAAAACCTGATTAGTAAAGGGAAACAATAAGATATTACCTATATACAATTTTGTTAAAGAAATCACTTGGAAATTTACTGAAAAGCTGTCTTAACTCTTTGTAACAATTTATGTATTTGTAATATTTATTAATGTTCCACTTGCTAGCTCATATAATTGATTACAACATTTTAGTCAAGCTTTTAAAGGATTTTCCGGTGCAAAATAGTTATCTTAAAGAAAGAAAAATACAATACAATTATTGTTTCACTGTTTTTCGGTTTAAATAGTTATTTAAAAAGAAAGATAATTAATTAATTTAATTTCTTCGCTTTCAGATAGCCCATTGGCTGGGCTTTAATCCAAACTGGCCCATCAATTTTGGTTCTCCTACCCGCCACCGGGCGCTGGCGGCGGTTCCTCAAGTGAGTCTTTCGGTTTCCGCATGTGGGGCATCACTTTTGGTTTGGAACCTCCCACCACCACTCGTTATCCTCATAGTCCCCCAAAAAACCCAAACCAAACCAAACCAAAACCCAGAACAAAAACCAAAATAACCAAAAAGAAACCGATCCCACCTTCGTTTGTGTTGTTTGTCCCTCGATGTCTATTGTAATCTGATTGATCGATATAACCGAAAGTGATCATGATAATATAGCCCATGTTTAGTCTATAGGCAGTGCGATTATCGTTTATTTCTTGATTTTCCTTTATCGTATAACTTAGGCCATCCTGTGAGTCCTCTCTCTGTATATCTATCTGTATTTTATATATATGTATATTATCCTTACAAATGCGTATGTCTGTATGTGGTACGTTTGTTTAATAAGTGACTCCTCTCTTCGTATATATAAACCTAGTTGTGTACGCCACATATATCTCTCTATATACATATATATTGTCGCATATTATTAACCGATAATTTCCATTCCCTTTTGTTGTTGATCTTAGTTAGGTAAATATATATATATAACGTATATATAGCGTATCTCATTTGACTGTAGTCAAGGCCAAGAAAAACTAGAACCAGAGCCATGAATCGAAGAGAGAGGTAATCGGGTAAAGTGAATAGGTTATAGAGAATTTATCATCCCTGGTTTCCATTAGTTTTCTATGATTTTCCTTAGCGACCGCTATACGATTTCATCTAAGTAATGCAATCATTAAAATAGTGGGGTTTGGTCAACAACTGAATATCTTTATAAAACAGTGCAAATTCGGATATCTCTGATAATTAAATGATCGGCCGGATATGGGTATTATTAGGCTTGGTTGTTGGCTACTTCCCAAATGATAAGGCTAAGATTTAGTTTAAATTCAAGTACTAATAATTAAAGATTTGTGTTTTGTCCTTCTTTTCTTTGCTCTTCTTTGATTGTATTGTCTTCTATTTTTGACACACAAAAATATACTGTAGCCAGTTCATATTGTAAACGCATAAGGAATAAAGCATAAACAAACACATAATACCAAAACTTTTAAAAGCAAAAAGAAAACAAAAATTATCTATCTATTAGAAACAAATTAAATACTAAAAAAAAAAACTATACAGAGATTGAGAGAATCTTCGTGTGCTAGGCGATCGCTCCCTCTCTCTCTCTCTATCTCACTCTTCAGCATCTCTCTCTCCCGCTCTCTATATCTCTACCTATCTCTGTCTATCTATATGTATCTATCTCTTTCTAAAAAGACACACACAGACACTCCGCACTCACCTAACGGTTTTAAAGGATTCCATTCCAATCGTTCCGGTTTCGCGTCGCGATCGTGATTAAAATAAATTAACTAAATGCAATTAAAATCGTTGATAAGAAATAATATCAAAATCGACACAACAACAATTACAATAAAAACAACAAGAACATCAACAACAACAATAACAACAACAACATCATCACAACAAGTACAACAACATCTGATACACTTTGAGGTAAGGAAGTATTTCTTTCTCACTGTCTCACACACTCCGCCTCTCTCCGTCTCTCTCTCTCTCTCTCTATCGCTCTGTCTCTTTATCTCTCGCTCTCTGTCTTTCTCCATCTGGTCTCGTAGTGTTGGCTAAATGGAATTTCCACCCATTAACCCATACAAAAATAAAAAACAAACCCTTTTGAAACCCCTTTTTAGACCCAAAAAATACAGAAAAAAACCCCTTGCATACATAGTTGAAAGTGATTCTGTTATTCCATCGTTCCGTTTGTTGGTCGTTCCGTTACATGTAGTTTGTTTCGTTCCACGTTTCTTGTTTCCCCTTAGTTGTCATTCTTTTGGTTGGAATTTTTTGTTGTCGCATTTTTTTGTAGCGCTTTGAGTTAATGATGCTGATGATGATGATGATGATGACGATGACTATGATGATAAGGATAATGATGGATTATAATGATGTCCCAGCTGTGTGGGTGCATACATACATACATAAAGGTGTGCATGAATGGAATGGGGTCAAAGGAAAGGAAAGTGTTCTCACGTTGGCTGTCAACTTGTGGCATCCAGTGTTCCACTTCACTCTTTGAAATCGCCCAAAGTGCTGCGAACGTGGGCTTTTAATGGGCAAAGTACTGAACTGAACAGTGACAGTAGAATTATATAATGAATGAGTTAATGCACAGACGGACTAAGACCTCTTCATTAAAAGTTAGACAAAAATTCTGTTAGCTGTAAACTAATTAAAAGTTTAGAAAAACTTAGGCTTAATATTATGAAAGACACTGTTTATAATCTGTTATGACTGACATGGTCACACTCTTTATACTAGTAGCAGAAAAATGCTTTATAACTTGCTATGGTCACACTGGTGGACTATACATACTTCATGAAATGTATATCTGTTGATTTACAAATTTAATGCTATATATATTTTGCAAATGCCGCTTTTGCCATCGCTGCTGTGTTGCCGAAGGCTAACGGTTCTTGTGGTGGGTAGGCTAACGGTTCTGAAACGGTATAGACAGCAACCGGTTGAAGCCAAGGCCAAAGCTCAAAGCTCAAATATGCATGGCACACCATATGTACATGTACAAGCCAAATAAACCTACGGGCAGCAAACATTTGTTGAGCAGTTGGCCACAGACCGCTGCTCTCTGTAGATATTGTACATACACATAAGCCATAATAAATACTAGATAAATAACTAAAAGAAAAAACAAAAAACAAGAAAACAAGAAGCTTCAACTTTTACAGAGTATTAAAGTTTTTCTAGTTGTAGTTATAAATATGTAAAAGGCTAGTTGAGCTCAAAGTCACTCGAGAACTAACTCAAACGTAAACGCAAACTCAACTCAAACAGCATTAAATGCTATGATGCTAGTTTAAAGTGTGACCAGTTCTTTAGCAAAGTGCGCCCTCAGCCTGGCCACACTGTGTGATTTCGTTTCTTTACGTTTGCCGCGCAACGCTTGAGCTTAAAAGGCAGGCCAAGATGCCACTAATTGGGCCGCGGTCAGTGTCTAGTGTCGAGTGTTTAGTTTCTTTTTTTTTAGTGTTTTTTGGGTTCACAGTGTCTTTGCGTTTTACAGTCTTTCAGTTCTTCAGCCGTTAGTCGTCCGGCGCGTTTAGCGTTCAGCGTTGTTCAGTGTCAGTGTCGCCTGGCTCTTCGAGGGCAACTGACGGCTGTTGATTCTTCCACGGCGCACCTGTCACCTGTCGAAAGGTGCGTGGGGTGAAATGTCGCCGCCCCGCCTGAGTCGCTACTTGATGGCCGTTCGTGGGCGCGACGGGGAGCGTAAGTAGGGGGCAGTTCGGCAAAAGAGGGGACGAGCGTTTCGTGGCCTTCAATAATTGTGTTTATTTTAGTGTGTGTTTTGCCAGCTGTAGATGCATGCTGCAAGTGTTTTTGTTTTTGTTTAGTGTTCTTTTAATTTTTATTTTTATATTTTATTTCCTTTTCCTACCCCGTACTTGTATGCCTCCATTTAGCACTTTCATCATGTGCATGTGTGTGTAGTTTTGCATAGCCAATGACAGAGGAATTAAAAATTAAAAAAAAAACAAGAAAATCTATAACGAATTACTATTGACAACAGCTTGAACATTTCCATTTCTCTCTCTCTCTCTCTCTTCCCCGTCTTTCTCTTTCTCTCTCTCTCTGTCTCCCACTCTCTGTCTCTCTTTCTTTCCATCTCCTTTTCTGTATTTACTACTGGTAATTAACTTAATTCTATCCCATAATTCTTCATTTTCTTTTCATTTTTATTTACAAATTCATATTTTGGTATTTTTCCTTGTATTTTTCTTGTAAAAAAAAAATCATATCTTACCCTCCTGTAGACAGCAAAAATTCGCAGACGGACGAGGAAAAGCAACGCGATCGACAGCGCAACGAGCGAGAGGCCAAAAAGGAAGAGCAGGACGCCATCAACTACAAGGTGAGTGTGTGGGTGTGTGCGTCTCTCTCCCTCTCTCTCTCTCTCTGTCTCTGCCTCTCCCTATCTATTTCTATCGCGCCTAAATTCGGTGTATATCCGTATGTGTGTGTGTGTGTATGTTCGCCCACGCGTGTGAAATTTCAATACAAAAAAATATAACTAAATCGAAATCGAAAAGAGAGAAAAATTCTACTATTATAAAAAATTATAAACAAAATTTAATGATAATTTAACGAAAAGAAACCCAAAAAAATATCGATATATATTTACGAAAATCTGCTAAAAGAAAATTCAAATCAAAATGAAGCAGCAATAACGATAACCATAACGATAACGATAACAATAACGATGGCAATGCGATAACCACTTAACCTGATAGTAAGAATGCACTTTGCGACAATTGCATGCAAACAGCGCGACAAGGAGCAACGCGAGGCCGTCTGCTGGACTTTGAGATCCGGCGCCAGCAGAAGCGCGACGAGCAGCAGCAGCAGCGTCAGCAGCAGCAGCAACTGCAGCAGCATCGCGAGCAGCAGCATCAGCAGCGGGAGCAGCAGCGCGAGCAGCATCGCGACCAGCAGCAGCAGCAGCAGCAGCAGCAGCAGCGGGAGCAATCCTCCAGCGAGAAGAGTCCACCCACCACGTCCACGTCGCAACAGCATCAGCATCAGGTGCATCAGCAGCAGCAGCAGCGACAGCACTTGCATCTGCAACAGCAGCACCTGCAACATCAGCACCAGCAGCAGCAGCAGCAACAGTCGACGGGCAGCGGCAGCAGCAACACACCCGTCACACCCAAGTTGCAGACCCCGCCCCCCGATCGCTCGCTGCCGCCCGCCTTTCGCAGCCGCTCCATCGAGCGGGAGATTCTCTACGAGCGCAAGCGTTTCTCACAGCCGGAAGCCGGCGAGATCAAGGTTTTCCATCATCAATCCCTGCACAAAAGCTCCTCCCTCCAGTTCCCCACCACGATATGCACCTGCATCTGCCCCAGCACCTTGCAACCTGCACCCCTGCACCCTAGCCAACCGATCCTAGATCCTGGAGAAAAATTGCTATTAGCTACTAGACTGCCAGGGATCGAGCTAACGTAGTGGCATTATTTACTTCATTTGGTTTAAATTTATTGTTTATTTAGTTATTTAAATATGTATTTAAAACTACGAAATTTTGTATTTGTTAAAAATTATTCCGTGTAATGTATTATATTGTTTTAAAATTATTAGATATTTGTATATATTATCATATATATATATTATTGTATATATATATAATTATATATATATAAATTATTATATATTTATATTATATTGCGAAGCCTCTTGAATTTCTCTAAGAAAAAATTATTTTCACATAAAATATGATAGATCTTTCATAAAAAATAATTGTTTTAACCTATACTTGAATAAGTTTTTTTTATTAATATTTTAGCAATGCATATATATAATATTTTTGAACCTTAACATTTGTAAGAAAATGTTTTCCATCTTAATATTTGATTTTTTATTAAATTTTCCAATTTAACCACTTATTTGTGTTATTTTTGAAATAGTTTGGGTTTTTTTAACTATCTTTAGATAATAATATTTTTTATTATAAGAATATCATAGTTTTTATAGTTTTTCTTGAAATTCCGATAAATATATATATTGTTAGAAAAGAAAGGAATTTAAAATATATAATTTGTATTTAAAAAAATATTTTTTAGCCTTATGAAAGCTTTTATTATTTGTTTGTTTGCATTTAATTTGAAAAACTAAACCCTGAATCGATTTCAATCACTTGCCGATCCCCAAATTTTTACCAGCATCACAAAAATAAGTTGTATTAATGCAAAATAAATTTTTTGTTTAAACAAATTCAACTCGGACAGGAGCTTGACAGCACGACAACATCATCATCCTCCGCCCAGCAGACTTTTCCGGGCAGAGCAGGTGCGGCGACAGGTGCAGCAGCGGCGCCTGCGAGCGGAAGTGGAAGCGGTAGCGGGCAAGCGGCAGCAGGACAAACGACGACATTGGCGGGGCCGCCGGCAACGGCCGCAGCTGCCACAGCTGCTATCATCCCGATATTGCCGCTCGGCGTTGCAACGCTGCGCGATGATTCCACCGAATCTGAGCAGTCCGTGACCTGTGCGCACAGCCAGCTCGATGCATACCATCGCATCATGTGAGTACAACTGTCCTTTTTTTAAAGGATCAATAAATATACTCTTATATAAGTTAGTTTTAAAATTAACTCATATTAAAATTGAGGCTAGGTTAAATATTTATTAGAAAATGATGGGCATATCCATCCTTAGATTTAGATACAAATCATATCAAATTCTCTTTCAAAATGAATAGAATGAAGTTATAATTGCCTTTAAATAAGTTAATTCTTGTTAATAATATTAATACATTAATAATTTTACAATAACATTTATATATATTTATATATATTCATATTTATATATATTTATATTTATATATATTTATATTTATATATATTTATATTTATATTTATTTATATAAATATCTCTATCTTTCGCTATCCTTCGAAAGTTCCCATATTTTAGCAACCTCTCTAAAGATACATTCCATATTTTATTCCCATATTTCAAAGAAAAGTTTCAAATTAAAAGAGGAGTAAACAATTAATAATCGCCATCGATAAATGCCTAATGAATCGATGTTATTAATTGTCAAGTAAATAATTCTTTTCAATTGAAAGGTAAAACATATGAATATATTATATCCACATATAATTTCCTGTTTCTCCGATATATTTTGAATTTAAAAACAACAACTTTGGCTCTTATGAAATGAAAACAAACAGAATTTTAATCGAACCCCTTGACAGGCATCTGATATTCAAATTGTATTCGTTGGGCAGGTAAACAATTCACATGAATTCTGTGTGTGTGTTTTTATTTTTTACTTTTGGCAAAGGGCTGTTGATTTGGGGAAATATAAACATAAACATACAGCCGTGTTTTATTTGTGTTCTTATTCGGTTTGCATCATTTAAACTGCGCTCGTTAGCATTAAATCAGGCAACCTTTAGCCTCGGGTCATTCGGCGATTTTGCGATTTTTATTCGTATTTTTCTCCATTTCTCTCTCTCTCTCTCTCTCTCTGCTGTCGCTTTCTATCTCACTATCTGCTTCTATGCTTTCCTCTCTGAAAGCTTGGAAATAAAAAGTGCAGCAAGGGAAAATCTTTATTCGCTTTTCATTTCTAGCCCCCTTCTCCCGCTCCAGCTGACATTCAAGCAGATTTGTTAATAATTAATGTGATTAAATAGAATGGAAGAGTTCCTGAGAAACTTAAACAAAAGTTCTAAGAAAGTGTCTCGGGACTTGCAGTTTGCTTTAGCCCCAAAAGGTATGCTATGAAAGTTGCATGTAGAATGTCAAGTCCATGTAGAAATCTAGCATGAAATCAAGTATACGCCATGTGTTTCTCTGAGAGCAATTGCAGTTGCATGCACACAGATGGCGCCAGTGCGAAATTTCTCATAAAAACTTGCATTAAACTATAATGTAGTTATTATCTAATTAAAGCTGTAGATAAAACAGTTTGCATAGATATAAAATATGTTTAATATTTAAGGGATTAGTAGGTGTATATGTATTTAAAGAGAGATGATCACCTCGATCAACAATGTTTCTAAAAACATATTCTTGTGTTTTCCACTGTCTAGGATATATCTTACGTAGTAGTTTTATAAATTCAATTAAATGGCTTGAAAGTTTAAGCAAACGAATGAAAAGTCAGGGGAATACCTATAAATGTTAAAATCAATAATGTTGAATCATTTCAAACGTATTTTACAGATCTTAAATATATTCAAAAGTAACCGAAAACATTTAATAATAAAAAATAATTTCACGTAAATTTAAAAACCCTTTACCTACACTTTGTATTTAAAGGAGAGTTAAGTTATTCTATTAATACTATTAAATATTTTGTAACAAAGTGTCTTTTTATATATTCCTTCAAAACTTTGATATGTGATCAAGTTTACCCGATATTAAATTCATTCAAGGTCTAGCAGTGCTTTACGTAACAACTGAAATCATTTAAGATACAACTTAACCCGACTCTGTGCCTCTAGTTCCCTTTTCTGGACAATCAAGGGACTTAGCTGCCCTTTAATTTGCCTCGGCGATTGTGATTGGCAAATTACATGTTGTCAGGCTGGCCTCAAATTAAAATAGTTAATTTTTCATTAGGACTAAGTCCTTAACAGAGACCAGCGCTCACATATATGAACGCATATCTACGTAGGACCGGCGCCCAGGTGCAATTCTCAAACATTACATTACATTTGTTCCTTCTCGGCCAGGGTTATATTGTGTCTGATTTGGCACAGCTTGCAGTCTGCCATCCACAGTTCCGGCCATCGGATCGAAGCAATTTCCCCTCCACATTCGCAAAAAAAAAGTCTGCATTTGGGAATCAGTAAGTGACTAATAATTGCCGCACTTTTAGGTCTTAATTTTGGCGGAATGGCGTTAAGAGTTCCTTAATCTTTCGACCGGTCGACATTGTGTATTTTAATATATATATACTATATATACCGTGTGTGAGTAAGTGACGCGGTGTGTGTGGTGTTCGTAATGGCCGTTGGCAAATGACTTCTTTGCATTTATCCATTATTCATTATTAATATCCTGGGGTATGACCGGAAAGCATATATATGTATATATATATATATATGTACTATATGGGGAAGGTCGCCAGCGGCGCCATTTGTGCAATATTTGGATTGCTTCCAGCCAAGTTCCCCGGGCCAGAGACTGTCGGCGATTTCTCTAATGCATTTTCCAAACAATTAAAATATCATTTTCTTGGCCTAATTGCAAGTATTTCTAAGCAAAAAATATGGATTGATTGCAAGTTCTTAGTATTTTCGATTTGGATACACTGAAAAAATGTATTTGAAGACTTGGGAAATACATATTTTGTGTGTTAAATTCATGCCACGATTTGATATGCACTCGAAGTGAATTTATATTGCCTACTTATGAGGGGCGGCCGTAAAATTCCCCTCACAAAGATATCGCAACAGAATTACACCTTAAGGATGTGTTGAATGTGGTTGTGATCGGTGCTCGGTAAATATTTATGCGGCAGTTATATGCACGTATCGGTTGCATATATACAGTAAATAGGGAGAGTTGTATATGTATGATAGTATGTATATTTTATATATATTTTTTGTGTGCATTGGATATTTATCCTTAGGCAGAGGGAAAGGCCATGTAGGCCCCAGAGAAAAAGCGGAAAAGGCAATCTCGTAAAAAACACGCATTGCCATCCATCCACACACACACACACATACACACACTCTGGCTCGAATTGTCATTGCAGGACATCAACTCACACCCTGACAAGGACTCTCGAAGACAGACTCCCACTTACACACACGTATTCTCCCACATAGGAGAATAAAGAAACATGCCGGGCCAATTTGCAACCGCAAAAGAAGAAACACTATTGGGAGCGAGTGAGAGGGGGGGCCACAGGTAGAGGGAGAGAGAGAGATAGAATGAGGAAAAGAGATAGAGATGGCGGCCTATTGATGGTGGGCTTTGCCGAATTGGGACACGTGCGTTTCTCCAAAATTCACCACAAAAACAGAGAGGCAGCCGAAAAAAGCTCGGATGCTTGAAAATTGCGCGCGCTGGCTTTCTCTCTCTCTCTCTCTCTCTTTCTGTGTCTCTTTATGCCTCTCTTTCTCTCTCTCTTCTTGGCTTTCTATTGCCCTTTCTCTTTCTCTCTGGGCGAGTGTTTAAAAATTTAAACAGAACCTGAATCGGAAACTAAGTCGTCCTAAAATTAATAGGAAAATTGCTATCAATAAAAGTTCCCGAAAATAGAAAATATATTTTGGGTATTTCCTTAAGAATTACGAATAATTTGTTGGTTGTTTTAGGCTTTATATCTCTGAAGGGCTTTTATTAAATATTATGTTATTTTTATATATTTAATAAGTTTATGTTTAATTTGTTTCTTTTTTAAGTAAAAGAATAAATTATTCCTAAGCATAGATAATTTTGGTTTTATTTACTGGACTTCATGTGAAATTCGAAGCTTCGAAAATTTAAATAATTTATTTTTAATTAACTAAAAAAATTGATTTTAATTAAAGTAACATAAATAAATACTTAAAAACATTTCGTAAAAAGATCGTAACAGTCGCTTAATAAAAGTAATCAAGAGAAATCAGAGTTATTTTATATAAGTTATATAAAAACTAATAAATTAATTTACAACAAATGTACTTATTTACATGGATTATATGAAATCATTTATATTTATATATTAAAATTTGTAGGGTATTTCTAAATCGATCCTCTTGTTAGCTTTTCCCTCTGCTCATGTTTTATTTTCGTTTTGTTGTTTCTCTGCTGTTTCCTTCGGTTTGCAAATAACACGTGCATTTGTCGTAACTGTCCCCTTTTTCCTATTCCCCATGGCGCCCTTCTTGGTCCCCCCCCCCCTACTGCCCCACCGCCTCGAATTTGCTCGGTTACCGTTACGTTCTGTTTTCGCACAAACGTTCGTTCGCTTGCTTCGTCTCTCTCTCTCTCTCTCTTGTGCTTGTTCTCACAGTGCTGACAATTTTTCGTTGGCCAAAAATAGCCAAAAAATATTTATATTTTGTTCAGAAACTTTAAGTAAAAAGTTTTTTACTTATTTCTTAGGAAACAGTTCATGAAAAAAATATATGGGAGTGTATTTTTTCAGTGTAAATAGTATTTTTTTTTATATAGAATTCTCTTTTTAAAGTTATAGGTATTTTTTTAGGCTTGATTTTTGCTTAGAATTTGATCGGAAAAGTAAGATTTGACTTGGACTGTTCTACGTGTCGTATACGTAATATGGAATTTATACATTTCGGTGGCAGTCCCAAAATCCTTATTTCTTGAACATCTGATGATTTGTAAAAAATATTTCTTGAGGTTTTTATAAATAAAATAAAATTATATCATATTAATATTTTAATATACCAAGGAGTTTTAGCTAATTTTGATCCTTTTTATAGGGTCAAAAGTGTTTCCTGCTTTGTGTTATCTTACAAAAACTAGAATATGTTGTGCTAGAATATAAAAATTACATACTTGATATGATTTACAATATTAGATATGTCATATAATATAATATTTCTCTGTTCCCAATATTATAAATTGATTTTTCATACCAAACAAATAGCCAAAATAGCGAAATAGTCAGTTCTACCTATTATATATATAATATTATAAATATATAATATTAAATATAAAATATATAAAATTATGAATTCATTTTTCTTACCAAATAAATAGCCAAAATAGCAATATAGTCAGTTCTACCTTCAACCAGCTGGCTGACTTTGGTTTTCCCTCTACGCTCTGGTCACTGTTTTGCCAGTTTGCATTTTCCGATTTCGGCAGCGAGGCCGAAAAAAAATACAAAAAAAAAGAAAAAAAAACTCGTGTATGTTGCTCGGCGATTGAGAAAATGAGCAAGTGCGAAAGTGGGAAAGTGAGCAAGTGGAAAACTGAGCGAGTGAGCGAGTGGCGAAGCGGCGAGGCTTCTGCTCCTCATTGCGGTGTTACGTGTTTCGCGTGTCAGACGCTTCGGTACGCGTCGCGCGCGCTCCGTTGGCGGCGACCATTTGGGCGAAATTATTTAATAACAATTTATAAATAATTGTAAAAAAGAAACGACAAAAGAGCAAAAGAAAATAAACAAGAAAAACCCAAAGACAACGATAAAATTCTAAAGAAAATAACAAAGCCCGAAAATTGCACAGAGAATGCCTGCCTAATGCTGTTTTTTTTTCAGTTTGTTGCTAGTTTTTGTTTAGTGCCAAAAAAAAAACAAGAAGAGGAACAAAAAAAATATATAAATGAGAAGAAGAACTACTTATATGTGTGCTGCGGCAAATAAATATGCTTATAAATCATGGCTGTCAAAGGAGCAGTGGCAAGAAGCAGAGAGAAGGTCGGCGGGGCAGTGTGATTCCGTTGCGTTTACCGTTAGCAGTGCCGTTACATGTGCTGGCGTGTGTAAACATTACCGTTACACACGGTGGCCATATTGTTTTGAAAGAATCACCAAGCACCAGGCACACACATAACGCATACGCAGCGTGGTCCAAGGCAAACTCACAAAATATTCGCGCGGTTAACCCATCAACAGTGACCTCAAGGATGTGTGTTTGTTAATAGGCAATCATAGAGAGTTCATTCAGTTTGTATTGGGTTTTGTAACAAATTAATTAATTACGTTGGGTCTAAGCAATTATCTTGTGCTTTTTTCTGTTTTAAATGTGTGTCAAATTAATTTGGATGTGTCAAGTCTTTATATAAGTTAATTGTGTAAGCTGCTTAAGGAATATGCATTATAAAGATATTTGAGTGTTTAGGATAAGAGAAGCTGTTAAATAGTGATCTGAGATCTAATTATATCAGGCTAAATTTCAACGATTTAATGTACTTAAATTAATAATCTTGGCGATATATAAAATATTTATGTTTTACCCCATTTATTTATTTATGTTATCTTCATTTTAAGCTTTGTTTTTAGAATAAAATCCTACCTATAGGTTAAGCTAAAGTTAACTTGAATACAAATTATAGACAACTAGTTACTACAGTAATTAATTAACTAATCAACTAAAGTCACAAACTAAGAGTGGGTTATAACAAAACTATATTTTATTTGTAATATAACATTTGCTATATATTTTCCTTCTTCTATTTGTATAATTATTAAGACTAAACATTAAGAAATTTAAAAACAGGTCCTCTAACTCTTATTCAACTGCCTGACGGCACAAGTATATATATTATATTTAAATTTCTAACATAAAATCGAATGTGGTAGATGTCTAAAAGATTAATTCGTACATGTGGGAAATATATATCTATATAGTATATATGCAAGTAAAAAAAAATGTCTCTAGAGAAGAATTATTCACTCGTATCTAACTGATATATGGGTCTATTCTGATATCTATTGCATATTTCTAAGGCATTGAGGCATCTCTTTGCATTGTAGGCTGATTTGGGTTGGCACTCTTCTTCTTTTTCTACCCACACACACACACAGAGACACTCACACACACTGACACTGCGGAGGGATACCGTTATAAACAAAAGGCAGGCCAACATCTGTGCCAAAAACCATTTCCCATGTGTGCCTTTTTGTGTTTGTGTTTGTGCGGTTTGCATGTGTGTCAACGCTCTAATTTCTGGCTGCCTTTTTTTTGGGAGATGGTGGGGAAAATTCTATGGAATGGGTGGAAAAACCCAAGTAACATTGGGGAATTGAATGGAAAACAAAAAATGGTTCAATAACTCCGCGTGCTGAACTTTAATGTCGTGTGAATTGCATTCGATTCAGTGGCAGCAACAGGAAAAAATTGTGTTTAGTAAGTAATTATCCAGTCACGCCACACTTGGTGTATTTTCTATATGTATTCTTGTATTTGTTATTAGTCTGCGATTGTGTTGGTGTTGTTGCGGCTGATATCGATAAACCTCGACGACTTGCCACAACCAAAACGTCGTAAAGAACTACAAATCTAAAAGGCAGGCAAACATACAGTGGGGATTGTGATGAAACGGAAGCTTATAACTAAGATTGTTTTTACTAGTTAAATAATATACTTTGGTTTAGGAAAATCTTGGAGGGTTTCTAATAATGTATAAATGAGATTAAGTGCTTATTTCAAGTACTATATGTACTTGGAGTTTATTTCCAACTCAAAGAGTTTTTCTTTAACTTCTTATACAGTTGGAAAGTACTTCTTTTTCTAGGCTTAGCTATTGCCTGACATCAGTATCCCTTTAATTCCCATTAATCTAAGCCAGATAATGGAAATGATCTGAAAACTATGTTATTTTAATTATTAATTAACTAGAATTAGTTTTCTACTAAGAAAATACTTCTTTTTCTAGGCATAGCTATTGCCTGACATCAGTATCCTAATAATCCCCATAAATCTAACCCAGATAAAGGAAATGATCTGAAAACTAGGTTATTTTGATTATTAATTAACTAGAATTAGTTTTCTACTTAGAAAATACTTCTTTTTCTAGGCATAGCTATTGCCTGACATCAGTATCCTAATAATCCCCATAAATCTAACCCAGATAAAGGAAATGATCTGAAAACTAGGTTATTTTAATTATTAATTGACTAGAATTAGTTGTCCACTTGGAACATACTTTTTTTTCTAGACATAGCTATTGCCTGACATCAGCCAGATAAAGGAAATGATCTGAAAACTAGGCTATCTTGATTATTAATAAAGAATTAGTTGTCATACATTTCTGAGTAGTTCAAGTTCTGGTAGTTTGACTGTAGTGCTCACACGAACGAATAAAAATCACTCGGCTTTGCTTGGCATGTGGAGTGTGATGATGGGTGGGAAATATCCTTGCCATGCCTTGCCTTGCGCTGCCTTGCCCCTGGGCTCCGGCATAACCTTGTTGATTCAACTCCGCCCCTGCCGGCCCTGATGGGAATATAATGCAGCCAAGATTCGGTTCGGTTCGAGGAAAATCGGAAAAGCGAAGAGGGAAAAGAGGGAGAAAAGGGAATGAAAAAGAGGGAAAAAGAAAAGTCGGAAGTTGGAGGCTCCACAAGGGACTTTGACTTTGGATTCGTGTGAGAAATGTAATTCCAATATGACATGCCACGTGTCACTCGATCTGGCTGCTGATATGACGGGATATGGAAAATGGAAAATGGGCAATTGCATAAGATTGTGGCTTAGATTTAAGCAGCAAATGTGTGTGTGTGTGGGTAAGAGAGATTAAAAGCACACATTGTTGTTGACAAGTGCACTTTATTAATTGAACGAAATCCGTTTTTAATCCGACTTTAGATTAGTCCTAATGGACATAACTTTTAATTGAAAGGCTTTGAAATGGCTTAGAAATGTTACTTTGATTGTGTTCTTAGGCTTTATACAAATTACAAGATGTAAATTAATAGCATATGAGGTTTTCCTTTCATTTTTTAGCATTAAAATTGATTAAAATAAACGGTTTTTATGCTAATTCAATTGTAAAGCTATCACTTCGCTTAAGTTCATAAAATATGTACAGAAAATAGTACAAATTTCAAACTTTAAGCCTCTGAAAAATCTGTTTTTTTTTGGTAAAAAATCTATAAGTATGTTATTGGGAAATGCCTGGCACTTCTGACCCATCATCATTGGCGGCAAACATGAAATGTGGCAGGCCTATATCCGGATCCGGTGTCCCTTTTCCTGTTTCCCGTTTCCTCTTTCCGGCTGCCTTTTGAGTTCGCGATATTTTCCCTCCCTCCTAATCGATTATCGAATGCTTTATGCATGCCTGAGTGCACTTTTCCCGAAAATTGCTATAGCAAACATAGCGAAACCGGAACGGAATCCATATCTATATCCGCATATTCTTGGGGCCCGTATCCGTCGTAACCGTAAGCCGTAGGCCGTAGGCCGGTCATCGCGTCAGTGGGTCACGGCTTCCCTCTCGCTCTCTCACACTCTCTCAGGCTCCTCTCTCACTCTCTCTCACGCTAGGGAAAGCCGAAAAATGGGAGAGGAAAATGGGGGAAATTGAGAGCGAGCCGGAGAGGAATGCGGCATATCGACCGGTGTTGGTGTCACGCCATGCTGCGGTTGCTAAAAAAAAATTATATACAAAGACAGAACAACAACAACAAAAAGTCAGGAAAAACAGAAAACACACACTCACACACACACACACACAGCAACATGCATATATGTATGCACATGTGTATTATATATTTATTTTATTATTTGCACTTTTGGCTACGTGCTGTGCCAAAAAGGCGGAATACCAAAGCCTATGGCAATTCCTTTGAGCCTCACACACACACACACACACACACACTTGTTCTATAAAAACCCATACACACACAGAGGACACACTCACACTTACACACACACATATATACGAGTTGCAGTTGCAGTTGCAGTCAAGGTTGCCGTGATGTTGATGATGTTGCAGCTAAAAAGTAGCAAGCCAAGTACCTTAAATTGGATTTTTCCTTATGGCCCCCCGGTTGTCTCAGCTGTCTTCTTCAGTCAGCCATGCACTGAGAGAAAATATATAGTTGGGATATAGATTTACATAAAGATTATATATCAGCTTAACAGAAAGTTATTGATGATGATTACTTTTGTTTGAGTTTAATCTTTAGAGTTTAATTTCCTCAACAAAAGTATTTTAAATGATTTTAATTATGTTAAACCCATTTTTAAATAAAATAAATATATAGCTGGGATACAAATATATATAGCTGCATATTTAGATTATAGATCAGACTATCAGAAAGTTTTGAAAGTCATTTTGGCCATGATTACTATTTTTTGGGTAATTTTTAACGATCGTTTGTATGGCAGCTATAAGATATAGTAGTCCGATTTTCATAAAACTATACACAAAACTCTAGATTAATATATAATGGCTACGTATTAAATTTTATGAAAATCTGTTAAAAACTGAAAAAGTTATGTTTTTTCTTAAAATTTTTTTATTGTTCCTATAGAAGCTATATATATGTATATATATATAGTTCACCGATTCGCCATGCTCCGATTTATATACCAGTAAAATTATGTAGAAGAATAACTTTACAGTTTCAGTCAAAAAGCTTGTCCTTTGTTCCAAAACAAATCTCGCACATCTGTGCATATGATTCCCAACTGGTTCTAACATCCCCGGAACGAAGTGACTTCTACCAGGCCATTCTCTGATATGTGTTGTGTTACAAAAGTTGCAAGTCATTGTTTATTAGTGTTCAAAGTTAGTAACTGATCATACATACATACTTACTGAACATAGATACTTACTGATCATAGTTAATTACTGATCATACGTAATTACTGATCAGAGATACTTAATGTTCACAGATACTTAATGTTTATTGAGACTTAATGTTCCTTGATACATACTGATCATAGGTAATTACTGATCATAGATACTAACTTTTCATAGATACTTATTGGTCATGGATACTTAATGTCTTAGGTACTTGCTGATCAGAGTTATTTACCTTTCATAGTTATTTACTGATCATAGTTACTTAATGTTCATTGATACTTAATGTTCATAGACACTTACTGATCATAGTTAATTACTGATCATAGTATAAAACCCTGCAAGGGTTTAAAAATGTTCTTGAATTATTAAATACAGATTGTATTTACAATTTAATTAAAGGAAAAGTATTGTCAAATAATTATGTTTATTCATAAACATATATCTATTATTTTCCTCAGTGCACTTTTCTGCCCCCTTTTTCCACCTCTCTCCTCCCCTTTTTCGGCTGTTTGCCTACCCATCTGCGGGTCACATAATTAGGAACCAGAGGCTGACACTGTAAACCAGTTTTCTTTTGTAGCTGCCATAAGCTTGTAAACAGCTTAGACGCCTGGCCTTCAGTAACAGCGCAGAAACTACAATAAAAAAAAAAAAAAAACAAAAAACAAGAAAAAAAAACTGAGAGGCAAAAAAAAACAAACAGAAAACAAGGAAAACACATTTTCCAATTCGTGCACGAGTCAAGGTCGTCACAACAAATGCCAGGGAAACGGCAGGAGAAGATAATCGCCAATGATGCGATTTTAAGTGCAGACGGCCAAGTGTCAGCGGCAACGACAGGAAAAACCAAAAAGAATAAAAAAGAAAACAATTCGGAAAATGCAGAAATCAAACAAAAAAAAATCCAAGGGGTTGAAGAGGGGGTAGCAATAATACGAAGCTCAGGGAAAGTGAATTGATTTGACACACGTGTGACTGCAAATGGCAAACTGATCAAATGCATTTCAATAGTTTCGTTTCCACTTAACCGGAAATGGGGAAAGCGTGGAAAGAATGGAAAGCCTAATTGGCATAAATCATGAATAATGCATTTCAATGCCAGGGCTAATAAATCAATCATCGAGTTCAAGTTCAATTTGCTATTGGTAAAACGAGACTTAAATCGTGTTAAGGTTAACGTTTGAAAAAGAATCTTAAGGATTTAAATATTTTTAAAATATCTACAAAGCTCTAGATAAATAATTATGTGTTTAAAGACATCAAAGAACTTGTTAACAACTAGAATAATTTATATTTTAAACCCGTTTTGTAACTGCCTCTAAAGAAGACCGCTTACTAAGGCATTCTCTTGAAAATATATCCCATAAAAATACATATTTCCCCCCTCATTATAACGCTTAACCCATTTATTTCGTTTATTTTAAAATTAAGCTTAGATATAATTACCAATTATTTCAAATCAAATACATTTATCTGAATGAGTTGTGAAATCTGTGGGCCTTAAACCAACATTAAGCTGAGTTGTTGGCTTGTGACTTGGCCCGATAATCTCGGCCACTTGCCATTTGCCACTTGCCACCTGCCACATGCCACATCGGTGTCGAACACACTCCGCCCACTTGTGGGTTGGGCGTGGATAACAAGGATAACAAGGATAACGAATCGAGGATACCAAAAGTGGCGTTCGTGTGTGTGCGAGCACCTGACTAAAAGTTTAATTTGTAGATTAGCCGCCTCTGCCGCCTCTGCCGCCTCTCGGGACACACCGACACCTTCCACTGACATGTAGAATATATACATATATATTCTTAGATATAGAAGTATATTCCTGTACTCAGTCAACTGTCATTTTGGCCTAGAAATGGAATTTATTGTCCTGGCAAAGTTTGCAACTGGCACTCGAAACTTTTCGTACAGATGCAGCACTGTCAGATGGTCATTGATCCCCAAAAGAAGTAGGCTATGATGAACGGGGAGTAACTATAGGGAAAATATATACACTAAAACTATAAAATACATATATATTACTAAGAAAAAAATACTTGGTTTATTCTCCAGAAATCACTAGAGTTTTTAAATCCCAAAAAATGTATATAAAAGTATCTCCAATACAATTTTTTAGGTTCCAAATTTATTGTGCATTTATTTTTTTATGATGCAAATTTCAGTACAGCTTTGTAAACGTTTTAGAAACATAAGAGATTTCTGTAGTTCCATAAAAATATCCCTTTATTTAAATAAATAACATATTTTTCAAACTTTTAAAACAAATTTATGAAAATCTGTTATTGCGGAATTTTTCAAAATTTTAAGTTCTAAGTGGAGTAATAAATATTAAAATAAGTTAAGTGCATTTTTAAAGAGAGAGAAGATAGTTTTACGTTTTATTTTATATATTATTTATATTAAAGAAATAAATAATAATAATAATAAGTGCTATTATAATTTATTTGTCCTCTTTTTTACAATCATAAAATACAGAAACTTAGAAATATAATTTTTTGTCAAGAATTCACAGAAATGATTATGTATTTTCCATTTTTCTTTCCTAATATAATCCCAGAAAATACAGAAAAATCATTTACAATTACCTAAAACTCAACCAACATGAAAACTTGTTGGCAAGTGTATATCCCCCCGTTCGTTTGCCCTGAATTTTAGCTACCTGTAGAGGTGTCAGTTTTATTGTGTAAACCGTTGCATAAACGTCAAAAGTTTTCCTCGGGGGGAGGGAAAAGCAAAAGGAAAAGCAGGGGGGGAAAAGCAGGCGCAAATTGTGCCCTATTCTTGTTGTTGTTTTTTCGTTTGTGGTGTCAACTACACACCGGTCGTGGTGAAAAGCTGTCTCGCTTTTCCCAACCCCCAACCCCCTGCCCCAGGGCAGCGGAAAATAGTGCATTCTCTCTCTTCGGATTTTCCAAAACTGATCCCGCTAATGAAGATGGAAAAGCTGTCTGACCGGTTCTGAATCCATTGTCAAGGTTAATCTATAATTAACCTTCGATAATGGGAAATCAAAAAGATGGAAACACAAGCAGATACAGATACAGATACAGATACGATGAAGATTCAGATACAAAATCAGCTACAGATACGGATGTATCTGTATCCAAACGATGCTCGGCACGAGGCGGATTAAATGAGCCGCCGGCGACGAGCTAAAATTATCAGCCATCAAATGTCTATTTATGTTCTCAGATATTACGGCGCTAATGTAAAGTGCCCCGGCGTTCGATATCTGAAGACTCTATATATTATATATAAACATTTTTTGCGAATTTATTGCTTTGAGATTATATACACGAACTCATTGGTTCTATGATGTGAGAAATGGTTCACTAGATTGTAGAAGAATGTGAGAATTTATGTATTATAATAAATTAATAATGTCAGATGGTTAAAGTTTATATAAATTTAGACCGATTTTCTAGGAATGATTACTTATTTATTGGTTGTAGGTAAACAAATATATTTTTTTTGTAGGTTTCTTTGGGGTTTAAGAAACTATTTTTATAGGAGAAGATATATTGATTATAATAACTATTATTATATATTTTTCCCGGATGAGATTGATTTTTCTATATTTGTAAACCCCAAGTTTTAATATGTTAAAAAAAAATTAATATTAACTAAAGCAAGTTCTTTACTCTGAAACCAATCAGCTTTATAATTCCTAAATAATATTTAGAAATATATATAGAAATTTATAAAACATATTAATATAAAATCTCAAAAAAAAATCAGGTATTTTGTTGTTAAACAAGATCAAGTCTTGTGTTAACAAGTGGCATTGCCATTTATCATTCAAGTGCACCTGAAGTTTATGGCCGTAATTAATGTGATTCTCAGCTGCCTCTCTTTTCTCTGAGTGTGGTGAAAAGCTCTTCTCTCGCGGTCTCTCTTCCTTTCTCTTGTCTCTTTTCTCTGCAAATTGCTTCAGTTTTCTTTTTGCTTAATTACTTGTGCAAAAACTTTTGGCAAAAGTTTCGATCAAGCTTTGGGCTTTGTTATTTTATCGGCAAAACAGTTTTTAAGTGATAAGAATGTGTTTTCATTTTGTTTAACAATTTTCCAATCAACAGCGACAAAAAACTAAACATATATCCGACTGGACTTTGCCTTAAAAGTATGCTATATATATATACAGACAGAATCCCTTGTGATTTGTAGTCCAGTCTTAAATAGTGTGTAATTAAAAAAAAAATAATGTCATTAAGGTGACACTCAAAATACTTTTAGTGAAAATAATAATTAATTGAACTAAACAAAAAAATAAGCAAGAAAAGGTATGTCTTGAAAGCCAATGAAATATAAATAAAAAGCGTAAAATGTTAAAGCAAAACACTACTCATGTAAAATTAATTTAAAATTCAATTCTTAATCGTTTTGACATAAACAAAAATCTTAAAATAATACAAATGAAAACATCTGCTTAAAATTGCAATAAATCATAAAATAAATTCGATTAAAGAAATGTCATCTCAGAAAAGGAAATTGAAAGAAACCCAAAACCTAAACAAACAATATATATAAAATGCAAAGACCTAAATAAACAAAGAAAATAAAATTCAATAAAATAAATGCTCAAAAGAAGAAATCAATAAATACACACAAAATTAATAACTATGTGAGCAATAATGCTTAATTAAACTATACAATAATATAAACAAAATGCAGCAAAATAAATTAAATCGAAAATAAAACATAAATATAAACAAAACCTAATAATTTTTGCATCCCGTGCAGATTAAGAATAAACAATGGCGTCCAATAGTGTCTAGAAAAAAATTCAAAATAAAATAAAAAGAGAAAAACAAACTAAAAGAACCAAAAAATCAGCCGCAAAAGGAAAAACACATACAAATTGAAAATTAAAAGAAACAAAGTAAAGCCCAGCAGCAGCGTCGACGTCGACGACGACGTCAGCAGCAGCAGAGCCATAATGTCCATGGCGTTATGCAACCTTAATGGCGACGGCAGCGCCTCGCAGCCGGCTTCGCAGCCGCAAGAGAGCCTAATGGACGCCAGCAGTGCCACGACGCCGCTGCTCCTGGGCCACGACCACAGCGGCGGCAGCGGTCCAGCAGAGGGCAGTGGGAGCGGCGGCGGCGCTGCCGACATCGCTGCCGATGGTACAGTCACGGCCATTGAAATGCCCGCTTCCGGCAGCGATGCGCAGCCGCAGCCGGCGTCGCTGCCATTACCGCCGCAATCGCAACAGCCGCCGCCGCCGCCGCTGCTGATGGCGCTGCCTGCCAATCTGAATTTCGTAACGGGACCCACGACGCAGCCGCTGTCGCAGCAGCAGCAGCTGATGATCCTCAACGGCGCTGTTGCGCCCTCGACCAATGACAACAATAATAATAACAACAACAACAACAATGTGGACAATACTAGCGACGAATCGAACCCGGTCACCATTTACAGGTAAAAAGGGCCCCGAACACACAGGTGTGAGGTGTGAGTTAAAATATAAACGCCACTAGTGGTGTTTATCACGAGAAAAACATCGATAATAACCTTAGCTTTTATATTTTCATATTTTAAGCATTAAATTATATCGAAGATAAGGAAAAAAGCTAACTTCGGCACACCGAAGCCTAAATATATACCCTTGCAGTTTTAAATTTGATCATTTTCCCATTTTGAAAAAAAAGTAAGAACTAACCTCAATTTCAAAGCTATTAAAAAGGTAAACAAAGGCAGCAGCATTCCAAATGCAAAAAATTTGCATCCACAAGAGTGGATCGCATTCTTTGAGTAGCTCTCTCGCTCTTAGATTCCACTTACCAAAGCAAAACCAAAACAAAGTCAGTAACGGCACTTGGCACGAAATAAAAATTCAAGGGCAAGGGAGGCGAAAAAAATGCGTGCGCCAACACAGAGAAAAAAAAGGGAATCAAGCAAATCGAAAGAAATACATATAAAGATATTGGTTCACTCACCCATTTACACTTTTGCTGAAAGTTCCAACGGCGAATTAGAATTAGTTGATAAAACAACATACAAATTAAAAAATAATTCAATTAAATATATTAACTTTTTAATTTATTGAAGGGTGCACTTTTATACATTTCAACCGCTTTTTCCATATCTCCCCTTTTATTTAATTTTCATAATCACGACAGCGACACCTTTTTTTTCAAGTGTAGCGAAACGGTTGTCAGAAGCGAAGGGAGAATGCAAACTTGCGGTACCTTCTACGCTTGAATGCATATTCTTTCTTTTTTGCACTTGCACATGTGAAGAAAAACACTATTCATTAGCAAATAAACGCACTGATCTTGGCACTATATTAAATATGCAAAGAAAATACACAACAACGGCCTGGCTTCGGTTTAGCGACTTTTCCAGACCTTTCACTAGCAAAAAAAACGCACTGATCTTGGCACAAGAAAAAAATGCAAAGAAAATACACAAAAACGGCCCGGCTTCGGCTTTGGGGCTTTTCCAAACCTTGCCCCCACAACACAAACACTTTTCACTGCCGGAGCTCGATGTTTATTCGCACTTTTCGCACCTGCAACTGGTTTTTCCGCGGAAGTTTTCCCGATTAGTTTTGGAGTCAACTGTCCTGCTCAGAGATTTTTTCGTTCTGATTTCTTTTCGCTTTGCTTCTTCTTCGTCTGTTATGTTATTTGCTCCTGGAATTTAACAGCCCCATGTTATGACTTACATTTTACACGTCTACAGAACACGTTGGGGTAAAATGCTCAGCTTTGGGGTAGAACTATCAGCTTTTGGGGTAAAATTCTCAGCTTTGGGGTTGAATTCTCATGTCGGAAGTAAAATAAATTAACAGACCTGCTCACATCCAGAGAGGAAAATGTAAGTTAACATAGATCGCTCCGCGGCGTTTGAGTAACTGATTTACAGCGGCCACCGGGAGCGATAATGGATGGCTTGTGTAGGTGGGAGAGAGAGAGAGAGAGAGAGATGCGGAGATGTAAACAACATCAACTGGCCACTTGCAAAAAGCTTCCAAGTACGATCTGGAGTTAAAAAACAACACAATTTGTATTAGATGTTTAGTGGCAGGGAAATTATAATTTTATTCTATTAACTTGATCGATTATTTTAAAGGCAGCTACAAATGTACATTTATGATATAGTCGTCCGATCTGTCCCTTTTCAACTTTTATACTATCTAAAAAAATAGTTTGCATAGAAAGAGGCAGACGAACTTGGCTCGATCGATTCGGCTGTTGATGTTGAGCAAGAATATATGAATGGACATATGTACATACATACATATACGATTTATACGGTCGTAAACTTGTCTAAAATTATAATACTTAGCAAGGGTATATTAAAACGGGAGTACTTGTAAAGGTAAATTATTAATAAGTATATTAATTATATAAATTTATATACTTATATTATTATAAGTATCTTAAATACCATCTTAACAATATTAAACTAATATATATATAATTATACTATAATATGTATATAATAATTCCGAAATAAAATTGTTTTCTCAATTTTAATAAGTTTTACAGTTTTACATTCACCGTTTTGAATTTTCCTCTATTTTAACGATCGTTTGTATGGCAGCTATATGATATAGCAGTCCGATTTTCATAAAATTTCACAAAAATTAGATCAATATATAAAGGCTATATATTACATTTGATGAAATTCTGATGAAAACTGGAAAAGTTATAATTAATTTTTCTTAAAATTGTCCGATCGTTCCTATGGCAGATATATAAATGTATATATATATAGTCCACCGATTCGCCACGCTCCGATTTATATACTAGAAAAATTATATAGAAGAATAACTCCATAGTTTCACTCATATAGCTTAAATTTGTTTCAAAACAAATCTCGCACATGTGAACATATGATTCCCAACTAGTTCTAACATCCCCGGAACGAAGTGGCTTCTACCAGCCAAGTCTCAGATATGTGTTGTGTTACAAAAGTTGCAAGTCATTGTTTATTAGTTTTCAAAGTTAGTAACTGATCATACATACATACATACATACTGGTTATAGATATTTACTGGTCATGAATACTTATTGATCATAGTTACTTACTGATCATAGTTACTTACTGGTCATAGACACTTACTGTTCAGAGTTAATCACTGTTAGTTAATCACTTGCTGTTGAAAGATTGTTGCTGATCCTCTATCGTTCCTATGGCCACCGATTCGCCATGCTCATAGCTAATTACTGATCACAGTTAATTACTGGTAATAGATACTTTCTGATGATAGTTACTTAATGTTCGGAGTTACTTACTCGTGAAAGATACTTGGTGATCCTCTACATTTGACAACCGTTTCTCTTGCAGTTATAATTTATACTATTCCGATTTTCATACAACTAAAAACCAAATTCTATAATAATAAGAGATAGTTTTGAATCAAATTAGATAAAACTATGTTAAAAACTGTTACGCCTAAACATATAGTACTGCCATAGGTAGTCGTACTAGTAAATGTTTAAATTTGAACTTAATTTATAAAAATGTTTTAAAACTTGTACGATTATATGACCTTATTTACTAGGATTTTTTCTGACCCGATCCTATATGTTCTTTTCGTGCGTTTTCCAGGTGCCGGGCTCCCATTGCGTCACTCGACTGTATGGAGGAGTTCAGTGGTACGGGCGGTCATCTTGATTTCGGTATCAAATTTCTCACTATCATATAGGCTTATCATTTATGTTGTTATCTCTCGTTTGCTCCACGTTTGTTCAATTCCCCGATTGTTTGATTATTTCGATTGTTTCTGCATGCCAAAGCACTTGAATTCATATTAATCGTTACCAAATTATTATCGATAATTGTGGGTTTGTTTTTTTTTTTTTGGCGAATTAGCTGACCTCCAAAGAGGCCAGGGAGTAATGCTCGCGTAATGGCCAAACATATAATTAAAGTTGTAATTTATTTTATTACGTTTCGTGGGGGAAAACCCCCATAGCACAAAGAACAACAACAAAAAAACACCTACAAACAATTTCTTATCCCAAAAATTCCACCCACAATCACGCATCCAAAACACGCGCACCGGACGCACGCACTTTTTTCGTGAAGTGAAAAACAAAAACAACAACAGGAAGGCGGGTGGGTAAAAAACAAAACAGGAAGGGGATAAAACACATAAGGGGAAGGAACCAACCAACAACAAAAAATGTCACTTTTGTTTATTCATGTTCATTGCATGCCGCGCTTTTGTACTTTTTAATATACTCTGCTAAGCGGTTACCTCAATTAGCTAAGTGGCAAGGCACACTTTGTTTTTTGTTTTTTTCTTCCTTTCGTCCTTTGCAAACGTTGCAAGTTTAATTTCGAGGCCCAAAGGTGTAGTTGAATCCCCAAAAAGGTAGCTTTTTAGGACACAAATATATCAAATATTTATTCAAAATGGTACAAAGCATAAGTTTAAAAAGCTGATATTACTTTAACTTGATTATTTTATTAATATGTTTTTAAATTGTATCGTTAAGACAAAACATAAGCAGCATAAAGAGACAACCAAACCTTTAAAAAGGACCATGTTTTTATATTTTCTTTAATTAAAAAATATGTATACAAAGTTTAAGCAAGGATTACCTTAGTCTTGAAACCTTAAATTCCTTTTTGAAACAAGTGCAGGCTTATATATTTAGTTTAATTTCGAAATATATTTTAAACGTTTTAAAAAATACTATTAGACTTTAAACCTTACATTCTTTATAAAATGTAAAGAATTTTCTTTAACAACTTTAAAAACAGAAAGTTTTTTAACAGTTCTCATAGGATTTTATGATTTCTTTTACAAATATACCATTTAATAACAAATATATCATTTAAAAGTATACATAATCCTTGCAAGTAAGTTTTAACAACAAATATACTTTTACTCCTGATATTAAGCTCTTCTTTTAAGTGTTGCGAACAATTGTTAGATAGATAAATAGATTTTATAATATTTACTGCTAAATATTAAACCTTCCTAGATAATAATATATAAAATAGAGTATTTCAACTTCGTTATCTTGGCCTTTTTTAGTTAAACTTTTATCGTTGAATTGCGTTTGTTACTGTTGCGTTGCGTTTGCTGTTGGCTTTTCTTTTTTTTGCACGTTTCCCGGCACTTTGAGAGTCCCGCCTCTTTGCGTTAAGGATTTCCACTAACGGAACGCACTTTTCCCCCAACAAAAAAAAACCGAAACTGTTTCATTCCCATGCGGCACCTGAATCCCTGAACAACACCTGGACACCACAACGACCAAATGTCCGTGTATTTGGGAATTCCACTGCGAACAGGACGCTCCATCAGCCTGGGCTCCAATCCGGCGTTGCCTTTACGGCATGGCTCCACGCCAACGCCGGGCCTGCGGTACAAGAATCTGGGCAAAAGTGGTCTCCGGATCTCCAATGTGGGCCTTGGCACCTGGCCGGTCTTCTCACCAGGTGTAAGTGATGACCAGGCGGAGGCCATACTCAAATTGGCCATCGAGAGTGGCATCAATTTGTTTGACATCTCGGAGGCGCATTCGGAGACGGAAATTGGCAAGATCCTGCAGCGGGCGGGATGGAAACGGACCGCCTATGTCATCACCACGAAGGTCTATTGGAGCACCAAGTGAGTATGGAGGGTATAGAGTGGTTTCAGATATAAAAGATATATTTTGAACGGTTTTAAATGGATACATTTTCTTATTTAAAGCTCGAATATATATAAAGACATATTTCTTTAGGTCTGAGGAGCGAGGCCTTTCAAGGAAACACATCATCGAGTGCGTTCGAGCCAGTTTGCAGAGATTGCAGCTGCAGTACATCGATATTGTCATCATTCATAAGGCAGATCCCATGTGTCCCATGGAAGGTAAGAGTTCTTCATTAATTTTAGACCAAACATATAACAAGGAAAGAGTTTTTGGTTATCTAGAACCTATATCTAGTTCAAAATTAACAATTTTCTTTGAACCTATATAGTTCTGTTTCATTTAAAAATTAATTAAAGTGCTTTACAGAGATTTCTTTGAAGTTTCTGGTGAAATCGTACCTTTTTAATCACCGCCCATTTCTCCCATCTTCCAGAAGTGGTGCGTGCTATGAGCTATGTGATACAGCAGGGATGGGCAATGTACTGGGGCACCGCTCGCTGGAGCCAGGTGGAGATCATGGAGGCGTATACCAATTGCCGGCAATTCAATTGCATCACACCCATTGTGGAGCAGTCGGAGTATCATATGTTCTGTCGGGAGAAGTGTGAGCTGTATCTGCCGGAGATGTACAACAAGATTGGTGTGGGTTTGATGGCCTGGGGACCCCTGTCGATGGCCCTTAGTGACACCCAGAATGGGGATAAGCTCTTCCTGCCCAAGGGCTCTTTTAAGACCAAGAGCTTCTCGTGGACCGAGGATGAGATTAATCGCAATGTGAGTTGTTATTAGAAGGAAATGATATTAGAATTTTAATGTTATTGGTTCTGTTGCAGGCCGCTCTGTCGCCGCAGGGTAGTTGGGGCAAGGATCGAATCGAGGAGGGACGACGTCACTGCGATCGGTTGCGTGACCTGGCCGCTCTTGCCGAGAAACTGGGCTGCAGTCCCACCCAGTTGTCCATCGCCTGGTCGCTGAAGCATGAGCCTGTCCAGTGCCTGCTGCTGGGCGCCACCTCGGCGGAGCAGCTCCACCAGAGTCTGCAGTCGTTGCAGGTTAGTGTTGATTTTGTAATCTAATTATTATTATTAACTATTATTTATGCAGCTACTGCCACGCCTCTCATCGAGCGTGATGCTGGAATTGGAACGGATATTGGAGAACAAACCGGTGCGGCCGCCGATGATCTCAACTCTGGCGCTCCGGTGACAATCAGCGTGCCCGCAGGGGCCGCTCAGCCTGAGCGGCGGCGGACCCTGCGGCGCCGATTCGCCCAAGCATGAGGATGAGACCTTCATCGAGGAGGTGGACGCTGCCAAGGATGCTGCCAAGCAGGGCTTCTGCCTCATCCAGTGACGAAAGGAGTCCTTAGATAACGATAATAAATTTTTGAAAGTGATTAGCAGTAAAACTAGCCTAAGTAGCAATACCATGACGACAACAATAAGCAGACAGGAGATGCAACAGCAACAGCAGCAGCAGCAACAGCAGCAGCAGCAGCAGCAACATCTCCAGCAGCAGCAGCAATATGTGCAACTACAACAGCAACACCAGTCGTATTTTTCCCTGCAACATCAGCAGCAGCAGCCACAGCAACAACATCTCCCGTCCAGCAGCAACTCCAGCGAGGTGGCTGCATCGGGATCAGGATTGGGACCGGCTGACCTTCAGTTTGACACCCTTAACAACAATAATCACAGCAACGGCAGCTCAGAACAGCCAACAAATGGAGCCACTGACACACAGAAGCGTCGCTCCCTGCTCAATTTCAAGTCCCTCGACTTCCATCTCAAATCCCTGTACAGTGGCCTCAGGAGTCACTCCTCTGCCGGCACTGGGGCCAGTTCCAGTCAGCCAAATAGCTCTGCACCGGCAGTGGATCAGGTTCAACGAAGGATGCCATATCTGCGGGTGGAGAGCGTTGACCCTGAAGGCGAGACGGGTCTTCGAAGGACCCGTGATGGCGATGGCAGCGATGGAACAGCACTCTCAGGACATTCCCCCAGCTTCCTATCACCCTACAGCGGAACAGGTGCCGGAGGAGCAGTTAGCCTTCAGCTGCCTTCAGCAGATGCGGCCACCATTAGAAGATCCTCAACTTCCGATATAGTGAATTGCAAAAAGGGTGCTAGTGGAGGGACAGGGACAGGAGGAGCAGGAGCAGGAGCAGGTGCAGCTGGGTCCGCCCAGGATAGCAGAAGGCCCAGCACCTCGGATTTGCTTCGAAGGGCCAGGGAACGTAAGGGTAGTGAGGCCCGGATGGGTCGAAGTGTTTCGCATAGTGGTCTGACCAGAGGCGGAGCCTTCGGTGGGGGCGGTGGCTTGGGGGGCAGGAGAACCAGCATGGCCTTCTAATAGAAAATATGAAGAAAAAAAAACCGATACGAAAAGGAAAATATTGAGAACAAGTTGAGGGACATACGCTGCATAAAAAAGTAAGCTTGAAAATATTACGAAAATGGGAAAATATTGGTTAATAATGTGGGGGTTCCATGAACCCCTAGACTAACAAAAATACAACTTTTTTGAAAAATGGATTCTAAAATTATAAAGAGATTAAATAATACGGCAGTTAGGGATATAGGTTTGGAAAATCCTCTGAGAATCAGAGGAAAGTTAAGAAAATAAAGGGGTCTGCTAAACATAATGGGTGCAATATATGCTAAAAAAACTGTTGATCAAATCTGATTCAGAAATCGGCTGACAAAATGGCGCTTATGAATTTTTATCTAGTAAAGAATATAAACAAAAAAATCAATAATAAAACTAGTAAGAAAGGGACTTTTTTGTGGATCTATCCTTACGATTATTATGGTCTATTATGCCTAGGACTCGAAAATAATTAAAGATAGTAGATAATGGAAAAGCGTTAAGCAAAGGAACATAACATTTCATATCTTTAACTCTCTCTATCTCGCTCTCCATTCTTCCTCTCTCTGTCTCTCTATGAAGCCCCAGCAATTGAATCTATATATTTAAATATCCCTCGTGCATCACATCGTCCCAACTTTTATGACAATATTAGATCCTAACTATCGTGTACTATCGTTAACTATCGCCTGGCAAATGCTCTGAAAAACTAACCTGCGTTCTGGCCCCTAAAAAGAAAATAGGAAAAACTGAAGAAGATAGAAAGAGAAAACAAAAAGCTAATATAAAGATCGATCCATAATCATCTTACTGTGAGAGTTCATATCAGTGGAAACCCAAAAGCAAGAAAACTAACAAAAATATGAAAGGACAAGCAAAAGAAACCTTGTATGAATGTCTTTCGGATTATTCGATTTGTAGACTTAACGAATGTTAAAATGATTTGTAACGAATGGAGGAGCGACTAGCGATTAGCGATAGCAATTTACGATTAACGATTAAAACGATAAACGCAGTGTGGGAGTTCATCAGATAAATCAATTTTAGCTAAACGAAAATTTAACTAATGAAAACCAAAATGAAAAACAATGAACAATTCAAATCAAATCTTATTATATAGACATTACTAGCATTATGTAGTTAAACGATAACAATTCAAGCGAACATTTTTTAAATCAACAAAAACAAAAAAAAAAACTAAATGAAAACCAAAACCAAAACATGATTAAACAAATGCCTTTCATAACAGCAACAACAAACAACAACAACAAGAACAACAAATTTATATTTTAAATAAATGCAGTATATATGTAGATATACACAAACACATAAATATGTGAAAAAAAAATACGAAAGCGATGAAGAATAAATGCCAGCAGCAACAAATTGTTATTTATTAATTGTAGTTTCCGACATCAAAGCCTCACCCGAATTATATAGTCTCCATTATCCCGATATCCCGTATAACAAACAAACAAACTAATAAAAAACAAAACACCAAATATTGCAGTAGGTTATATACCAATAAAACATATTTAGAAGCTCCCCAAAATTCCCCAAAATCCAAGGTCCCATGTATTTTATCATCATTATCGAGTACATATATAAAGTCTTTCTCACATACGGACTGTGATTTCATATAAAAGTAAACGTAAATAATGTAATGAATTAATTATATTAATGATGACGATTTAATAACTTACATCTAACCTAATGTAAACTAAGTGCTAAGTTCATTCGGGAGATATTGTATCTCTCAGATAGACACACTCACACAGACACACGCCTACTACGTATGTACACCTGTAACTGTACATAATGAACAATACATACATACATACATATGTACATCTATATATTTAGAGAACACAACAAATGCGAAACCAAATAGCAATTTTCAAATCGAAATCGGCATTATATACTAACTATACTCTACTCTACAATTAATTAACCAAATGCGATTGCCTTAATAACGAATAATAATAATAATAATAACGAATAACAAAAAAAAAACAAAAAAATGGAGAAACACGCAGCGGAATGGATCAGATCGGATCGAATATAAACCCAGCCGGGGGCCGGTTTCCTCAAAACTTCAGTTCCAAATCGGAATACATTATACACACACGCCACACCATTTACACTGATATAAAAATATAATCCCGCAATCCTTGCACTGTTGCTTGAGAAATCGTCCCGCGCCGACAAATAAGAATATATATACATATATATATATATATATATTGATTTAGCTCCATCAGATCACACGCAGGATATACACATATAGGGAGCTCTTGTACATATTATATGAGAGTAATTGCATTTTTTAGTAAGTAGTTAATCCGTCCTCAACAAACGGCCAACCAAATGAATCGAAGTGAATAACGGTTGGGCGCTGCTTTAGCCGATAACCATTAACTGATGGCCTAATTTCTTATCGATAACATCGATAACTGATTACTATTCCAAATCAAATGTTCTTCTATGAAGAAACATTATTTTATTTTTCAATTTATTTCACAAAAATACATATGTCAAATATGAAAGCTCAAAAATTAGTTATTTAAAGGTTGTGATAGTAATGTTGCAGAATCTCATTTATTCAAAAATTGCTGAACACGATCGAATACATATCTACGAATAAGTGAATAATTTTGAATAAGATGGTTAAATATTATTTAAACAATTAATCGAAATTAATGCAAACCAAAATTGTAAAAATGAGATGAACTTCTTTTTTCAAGAAAATCGTGAAAATATTTAAAATATTCCTAGGCTTAACGGTTAATCGATTTACAAGCAGCGCCAATCGATAAATCCAATCATCAATTGTGGCCACGCCCCCAAAGAAAAAAAAAATGGCCACGACGTGTGAACCGTAAAGCAATAATGAAAAATAGTGCTGAATCAAGTTCAACTAACAAATTGATGTACATAAACAATAAACAACCATATACAGTCATTCACACACACACACACACTCATAGTTGCACATCCGATGTATGAGATTAATTTTAGTCTGTTGTTATTGCAAATATTATCACGATTATTATTATTACGATTACGACTATTATTATTATTAACCCGTAGCTAGTAAAATCGAATGAGAATCAGCAATTTAAATGCTTAAGCCTGAAAATAACCTCACACACACACACAACATTATAGTTATACAACACACACACACACAGAATAATAAATAAAAAACAGCAAACAATTAAAAACAAAAATGTAACGGAAAGTATTAAGCCAGAGCGAGACAGCAATATGAGAGAGTAAGCGCAGATATAGGAAAGAAAGCGATAGAGATAAATCTAGTCAACAAATTTTACTTTACACCAAACAAAGAAATATTTATAACAATTGCAAAAAAAAAAACCAATATAAAGGAGATAATAACTAAACGAGAAGCGTATATAAAAATAATAATAATAATAATAAATCTTAAAATTATTTTCTTATCGAAACTGGCAATAATAAATATTAATATTAAATTAAACAAGTAAATAATTATATTATACACACACACACACATACACGCAAGCCAAATGTGGTGAGAACTTCATAAGTTAACTTCGCATAGAGCAAAAATCCTTTGCAAAATCAACAAACTACACTGAGAAAAACCACTTGATTTCAAATTGAGTCCACGCCAAGCGTACACACACATACATACATACTCACATACACAAAATGGCGAACGGAAGTGAGAAAGGAGAAAAGTGTTCACACACCAGAATCACCATTTGTTACTGCACCAGTGTACACACACCCAAACCACACACGAGATGATCAGCTTTACTTTAGATTTTTTCGAAAATTAATTGCAGGGTCGCTTAGGGTTGCTTAGAAAATCGAGGGAAACCCCCACAAAAACCAAATCCAATTCAGACGCTTGCATATAGCCCTAAAAATATATAAAACAAAAAAATTATATACAAGATACATTAACAAGCAATACCGCAATAACGAGCGTATTATTTTTCTAAGTTACTAGAAAACGAAATAATATTATATATCAGACGATCCACTCAATTACATGCGTATATAATGCCAGCATTATGTACACTATAAATATAAATGTTTTTTGGCGGATTGCAGAAATGAAGACGATGATAACGACGAGGGCAAATTGTTTACATTTCACTTTTAAAACCACATTTAATACTAATAATTCGAAAAAGCTAATTAAAATAAGTTATAACAAAATAACGAACAGCAAGAAGAACAAGCAAAGAACAGCAAAAAACAACACAGCTAAAATACTGAAAAATTATATAAAAATACAAACTCTTATCTTTCAACCAAAAATCAAACAAACATTGAAGTTTTTTTTAAGGTAACCACAAGTAAGTAAAATTAACAAACGGAAATGCGATTCAATAGTTTAATAATGTTTATCATTCCGGCAGTTTTTCAGATGATAATATTGAAATTACTGCAGCTTTTAGTTCCAAAAAATCAAACAAAACTAATTTAAAGTGAATTATTTGAAATAAAATTAATGAAGTATTTAAATTGTTTCATTTTATATATAATTATATAGACATTCTACGCCCATGTCTGATAAAATTATATACATATATTCTTGCTAGTGGATTTCCTCTATGTACATATCAATGTAGGCATTTCCGGGAATTCATCGGATTCTTGCTCTTCGCATTTTTTAACCTTATCCATGTTTTGTATCCTTTTATTTTTTTATTAGAATATAAATCCATATCTATACAAAATTCATTTGAAGCAGGGAATACTTGGCAATTGCCAATTTTTAGCCGTATAAGCCTTTTTCTTTTTTATATCATTTGTCTATTTTCATTAGAATTTAAATCCATATCTATTCAAATTCTTTTGAAGCAGTGATTGCCTGGCTTTTGCCCATTCTTAGCATTATAAGCCTTATCCATTATTATTATTAATTTTTTATTTATTATTTTTTAATATCCTTTCCCTAATGTCTTCAGAATTTAAATCCATATATTTTCAAATTCTTTTATAGCATTGAATGCCTGGCTTTTGCCAATATACTTTTTCTATTTTTATTAGAATTTGAGTCCGCATCTATTTAAATTCTTTTGAAGCATGGCTTGCCTTATTATTTATTTATTATTCTTTAATATCCCTTTCATTAGGATTTAAATCCATATCTGTTCAAAACTCTTTTGAAGCAGTGATTGCCTTCCTTTTGCCAATACTAAGCATTCTAAGCCTTTAAAGGTGATAGCACAAAGAAATCTTCAGGAGCAGCTGCAACTCAACCTCTCTTCACAGAGGAGAATCTTTTCGAAGCCTTTCCCGTGGTTTAATTACTAGGGATCCTTTTGATCCACCTCCAGCACTGAGGCTAATTTTTCTGAGGGCCTTCGGGAAGTTACGGATCAGAAGCAAGGGACCACAACTCAGGACTGCACATCGGTTTATCGTGAAAACTCATCCCACCGGCAAAGGGATTCTTTCAGGCACAGCTATCGTACATTTAACTCATGTTGCAGGAAGAGATCCTACCAAAATGAGCAATAGTTTTAAAGTCAACAGTATCAATATGAATTCCAGCAACATTATCACTATCATCACCATCAACACAGTCCCCGAAATGTCTTTAAGACTGATCCAGAGGAATTTTATGCTTCCATTAAAGATAATGAATTATTTTAACTTAATAAAACAGAAGACGTATTTAAAACATTTAAAATGGTACTATTTCCTAGGTGTTGATATCAATCAGATGGTAAATTCTAAATATAGGTTTTAACAAAAACCCAGACTGAAAATCCTCTGGACATTAAACTTGTTTATTGATTTGGGATTGGATGCACACAACGAAATACTTGTCTCGAAAATATAACAGGAGTGCTTCAACATTTTCAAAGTCGCTAACGGAGAACACTAACTTCTTAAATGCACGTTTCCCGGCACTTTGAGAGTCCCGCCTCTTTGCGTTAAGGATTTCCACTAACGGAACGCACTTTTCCCCCAACAAAAAAAACCGAAACTGTTTCATTCCCATGCGGCACCTGAATCCCTGAACAACACCTGGACACCACAACGACCAAATGTCCGTGTATTTGGGAATTCCACTGCGAACAGGACGCTCCATCAGCCTGGGCTCCAATCCGGCGTTGCCTTTACGGCATGGCTCCACGCCAACGCCGGGCCTGCGGTACAAGAATCTGGGCAAAAGTGGTCTCCGGATCTCC